CTTTCCTGTCTGTCTCTCTGCCTTTGATTCCGTCAGCGGTGCGTGGCCGAGCCTGGTCCGTCTGGGGCCCACGGAGCCAGGGGCTGGTGCACCCCGGCGGCCCGGCCACACTTCCCTTTCGAGGCCGCATTGTGTGTAGAGACCACGCGTGTTTATCGTTCGTGCACCGACGGGCACTCGGGCCGCTGACCCCTTCCCGCTGCTGTGAAGGTGGGTGCAGTTTATCTTCGGGAACCTGCTTCCTGTTCTCTGAGCACAGGAAGCACGTGATATAACGCTCATGTGAGTGGTGACCTCGCCGATGCTGGGACGGTGACATCGCGGTCTTGCGTTATCCGGGTCAGGTCGGGGGCCTCGGCCTCCTCACCACCCCCTGCCTGATCGTCCACATGGCACTTACCACCCTGCCCTGGGCATTTCCAAAACTAGCCCACTGCCCATTATTTTTAAATGGATTTAACAAATAATTATTTAAAGACTTTCCCGATGTTTTAGTTTTGAATACACTAACCAGTAACTACAATTATAGCGACCGATATAACCCACTTATGTGGGTTTTGGGGGGAATTTGCAAGTTTTTTTTTTAAAGATATTAATTTATTTATCTGAGACAGAGAGCATGAACAGGGGGAGTGGCAGAGGGAGAAGCAGACTCCCCACTGAGCAGGGAGCCCGACACAGGACTCGATCCCAGGACCCTGAGATCATGACCTGAGCCGAAGGCAGACGCTTAACCAACTGAGCCACCCAGGTGCCCCAGAGTTCTCGGCAGTTTTGAAGAGTGTCGGGGTCCTGTAGTTGGAGAACGCTGGCCCAGGGTGCTGGCAGGGGCGGGTACGAGCTGCCACCTGCCTGGAAGGTGATTAGGAGGTTGACATGGACGGGAGCCGTGGGACCCTCTGCAAGTGGGAGTCCGGGGTGACCTCTGGGTTTCCGGCTTGCACAACCGGGTGGGGTGCTGAGGAGGCTGGCGTGGGGCGGGAGGCTGCTGAGGTCGGTTCGGTCCACTTGAGTGTGAGGTGGCAGTCAGTCACCCCCAGGAGGACGGCTTCCAGATGGTTGGCCAGACGGTCCGAAGCAAGAGGGAGGTGTGGCTGTAGCTGGAAACCTGCGGGTTATTGGCTACATGGGTGTCCTGTCCCAGCTGGGTCAGGAGCTCCAGGAGGTCAGGAATGCGGTGGGATGCTGCTCACCAGGTATGCACACGCGGGAGTTTGATGAATGCTTGGAGTGTGCGTGGGTCTGGGCGGCACCGTCGTATCCTGTGACAACAAGGCCTGCCTCTTCAGACCCCTGCCCTCGCCCGCCATCGGGACGGCTGCACCCGGCCACACGGGAGCCTGGGGCCAACGGACAGATCAATGACACTGATCCTGTTTGCATTGCAAATGCTCAAATTTTGTCCATCACGATGCTTGCATTGATTTTGACTTTTTAAAAGCATGAGAATGTTACCTTTACTACAGAGATTTTTGGCAGCCCCTTAAACTTGACACCTGTTGGGGGGGTGGCGTTCCTCCGGCCTCACTTTAGTCCTGCCCTGAAACAGCTCCGAGCGCCGCCCAGCGCCTGACCCCGATCCTGAGCGCCTGCATTCATGTGAGTGGTGACCTCGCCAATGCTGGGACGGTGACATCGCGGTCTTGCGTTATCCGGGTCAGGTCGGGGGCCTTGGCCTCCTCACCACTCCCTGCCTGATTGTCTGCATGACGCTTACCACCCTTCCCGTGGCCTGCCCTGGGCATTTCCAAAACTAGCCCACTGCCCGTTGCCCAGCAGAGTGCGAGCCTGGCAGGGGGCAGAGACCCTGACTGTATCGCTCCTACCGGAGTCCACGAGCCCGAGTGTTCTGTAAATACGTCACGAAGGAACGACAGCCAGGGGTTGTCAGGCAGGCGCTTGCCTTGTGCTCATGATGTCACCGAATCTTCACGGCAACGCAGGCAGTGTTATCGTCCATGGTTTACAGAAGGGGAAACCGAGGCACAGAGCGGTGACATAACTTGCCCAAGGTCATACGGCTGGTGAGTGGCCAGATGGGGATTTGAACCTGGGCAGTCTGGCTGAGCACGGGGCAGTCTGGCTGAGCACGGGGCATTCTGGGTAACTTTGGGGTGCAGGGCCTGTGCACTGCGCCGTGTGGAGCTGCTGTCCCCATTTCCACCCACCTCCGTGACCAACCCTGAAACCCCAAAATGCCCCCAGACGCCCCCTGGGGAGAGCACTGTGCAGCGAGATGCCTTCCCATCAGGAATAGACACACCCCGGGCTCCGGTCTGGTGCATCCGCAGCCTCAGGGTCTGCTCATGGCGGGAGAAGGGCCAGGCGGTCCCTGTCCTGAAGCCAGGAGGCCGAGGACCCCCAGTTGGGCTTTTTGCCTTCCTTCCTAGGACGGCTCAGCCACGCCTGGACCTTGGGGATGTCGCAATAGTCAAGGCCCATGGAGCCCGGCACGGCCTTCGATGCCAGAAGGGGTAACAGCTCGTGGCTTCGCTTTGAAGAGGCATGTTTCCCGTATGCCCTCCTGTGGACCTCAAAACGCACTGGTTCTCCCCTACCGGTAACTGTTCATCCTGTGCTAAGCACTTTCCGTGAATTAGCTCATTTAATCCTATTCTAGGATGAAGTATTCTCATCCCCGTTTTTCAGATGAAGAAGTTGAGGCTCAGAGAGGTTGAGTGACTTGGCTGGGCTCACCAGCAGGTGAGTGGTGCAGCGGGCGGTCACCACCAGCCGGGTCCTGTGGAACCGTCCCTCTCAGGTCACAGCAGAAGTGGGATGAAGAGTGCCTGCAGAGACCGCAAGGGCAGGTGCGCCCGCCGGCCGCGGGTCCCAGGGAAGGTGGCCCTGGGAGGTTCCGGAAGTGGGTCTTGCCCTACTTTGGGCTTCGTGCCTGTAACTGAGGGCGGCGTGTGGGCCCCGGCCCCCATGGGAGACGGTCAGGGGTGCCCCCGGCTGCTCCCCCCGCGGCGTGGGTGTGGGGCTCAGACCCTTCTTCCTCGGCGCATTCCCGCTCACCCTCTGTCGCCACTGGGTGCTTCGGGTGGTGGCCAGGAGCTGCCCTCCCCTCTGGGAATTCTCATTCCCGGGGCTTCCCGTGGCCTGATGTCTCCCACCTCACCTCCACCTCTGTGTCGCACGCTCACGCTAGCCATTCCCGAGCAAGTGCAGTCTCTCACGCTTCCGGGCTTTCTCTGCCTGGGGTGCCCTCCCCACCTGCTCTGCCTGGCAAGTCACCCTCGCCTATTCCACCTCCTCGTAACTCTGTGGGGCTTTCTCCAACCCCCCACCATGTGCCCTTTCCTCCTTGGTGTCCCCAAGGCCCTTCCCGCCCCATCATCTGACAGAGGCTCAAGTGATCTCTCTCCAGAGACTGAAAGATGCTGCAAATCCTTTGCTCCGCTTCCCATTAGGAGGAGCAGCTTGGTCCCCTTCTCTTGTGACCCAGCGGGCCTTGGTGACATGCTGGATCTCCCTGGGATGTTGGAGTCTGAGGCCGGGTCATAAGTAGCCTTGCAGCTTTTGCCCGAGCCTCTTGGAAGGTGGCTCTTGGGACCCAGCAGCCACCCCAAAGAACCCAAGCCACAAGGAGAGGCCAGGTGAGGGTGCTGGGTGGACAGCCTCAGCTCAGCCCCCAGCCAACATTAACTTCCAGCCACTGGACGCCCCACCCAGTCGAGCCTTCAGTAACCCCAGCTGCTGTGACCGTGACCTCAGGAGAGCCCTGTCCTCAACCCCCAGGACTCAGAAACCTAATAGAAACTGTTTCAAGCCATTAAAGCACTGGGGTGGTTTGTCCCAGGGGTAGCAGATCACCGAAACGGTCTCCCTCATCAGACCACGAGTTCCCAAGGGCAGGGTCCATGTCCTTGTCCCTCTGGATCTCTGGCCCCAGCCCAGCAATCTGCTAAGCACCAGGGGCTCCTCAGATACCCTTAAGAGTGAATGAATGAAACCCATCAAAAGTCACTGTTCACCCTGAGATAGAAGAGATTTATTAGCAAGAGGTAATCAGGAAACATATATTTTTACAAAAATGGAAATTTCTTTTTTTTCCAAACAAGCTGTAAGTTGAAATATTGTAGGACTTGAAATAGAATTCTCATACCACTAGGTATTGCTTACAGCAAAAGTTGTTTGTCTGTCGTCATGAGCATGCCTGCCGCTTGAGTGAACCCGCGCTCTCTACTGTACAGTGTAAAAAATCGACGGTAGTATTCACAGAATAAGCACTACGGTACTATATTCCTGCTAGAAGGCGCTCAGACAGGACCACAGTATATGCGATAAAAACACTCGGTTATTGATTCCCTAGTTCTACGGTGTGGTACTATTTTCACAAAGCAGACTCAGAGCATCTCAACGGAAGCTTGGAGTGACCATTGGGCAGCTAGGAGAGGAGGAGTGACGTGTTCTGTGTCCCCGACTTGCAGTGAACGCCAGGCCGCGGTCAGCGCAGGCCAGCGCGACCTTGTGTTGTGACTCCATGTCCCTCGGGGTGCTCCGGGGCCTCGCCCGGGTTCACGGAGACGGCTACTCATGCTACCTGGTGTGAGTCCTAGAGCGCGCAGCACGCAGTGCCGGCGCGAGGTGGTGGTGCTGGTGTCACGGGGCATGGTCCTCGGTGGAGGGGACGCCCCTCCGTCCGGGTTACTGGGAGACGGGGGAGCTTGGGCCCCTGTGATTTTGGCTGAAAAAGCTGCTTTGGAAATTGGCATCACCATCAGCGGGAAGATCTGTGAATGACTGGACTTCAGGGTGCGGTCCCCTCCCGCCTCCCCCCACCCCCCGGTTAGAACAACTACATGGAACATGCTGGGAGGACGCCCGGGGGTGGGGGGCGGACGCAGCCCGGGGGCCGGGGCCGGGGCGGGCCGGAAGCAGGACGGTGCCCAGGCTCGCGTCTGCACGGGCTCCGTCCTCCCTTCCGAGAGAGCGAGGGGCCGGGAAGACTCAGACGTCGTCGTTGGAAAGAACCAGGCGCTGGGGGACGCGGGGAAGGGTGACGTCGGAAACGGAGCCGAGCGCCTATTCCGGTCTACAGGAATCTAAGAACGAGAACGGACTGGTGTTCTTGGAGAAGCACATACTAAAGAGGAAAATCCAGGAACCAGACGACTATGTACAACGTCACACAGCGCGTGTCCGTGGCGCGGCTGGGGCCGGCCGGCTTCAGGTGGGCAGTTTGGGCTCCATGCGGAGAGAGGACTCGTAGAGGCTTTCCTCGTCCATCACGAAGGACCGGTCCAGCAGGTACTGGGTCACCTGAGAGGAGGAAGAGACAGAAGGAGAAGCGGCCGCAGGGCTGCGGGGCCTCTGGGACACCGGACGGCGGACGCAGGGCCTGGGAAGCAGGCCCTCCGCGGGGCGGCCAGGCCGGCGCACGGCGCTCACGGGCCTCACGCTGCGTTTTGTCTTCATGTTGTCTCAGTATTGTCATTGAACATCGTCCTGACAGTAATGCTAAGTCACAGTGGGTCAGCATGACCCTCGACTGCCTTTCTTTGGCGGAACACTAGACGAAATGTTTTGGGGCTTTTTAATTTTTTTAAAGATTCTAATTATTTATGTGAGAGAGAGAGCGAGAGAGCGAGCGAGTGGAGGGAGAGGGAGAAGCAGACTCCCTGCTGAGCAGGAAGCCCGATGTGGGGCTTGATCCCAGGACCCTGAGACCATGACCTGAGCCGAAGGCAGATGCCTAACCAGCTGAGCCACCCAGGCGCCCTGATTTTGGGTTCCAATCTTGAAAAAAAAAATCGACCATGTCAAGTGTAGAATCTAAGTGGTGGGTGTCTGGGGGTTTACATGTTCTCTCAAAGTGTCTTTATGCTGCAAAGATAGATTTAAACATTAGGTTGACAGAGCTCCAAGCCACGTTCACCCCAAGAAGGAAAGTGGGAATGGGCTGGGTGAGGGCTGGGACTCCCCGTCTGGTCTCGCACGCCTCACTCCGGGGAAAAACCTTGGAGTGGACAATCCGGAGGACCCACGGCCTGGCTGAGTTCCTACAATTAAATGTGCCTGAGGGTCCAGAGCCCAACCCCCCCCCCCCCCCCGCCGCCCCGGGGAAGCCCCAGCTTCGCCGAGAGTCTTTCCAAGCCTCGTTCATTTGTCAGCTGTGGAACCAAACACATCACACGTCTTACATCGTATCTGGCCATCTTCGGATGGCTGCTAAAGCAAAATCACGTCTCTGCCGCGAGTGTCTTGGCTCCTGGACCCTGTGCTATCGTAGGAGCAGGAGCGGCTAACACGCTGGCTCCCAGTCACTGACAAAGGGATGACTGTCTGGTTTACGCTCTCACCTACACCTCCAGGAAGTGGACTCCAGACATCACAGTCTAGGTTAGTCCACACCCGCTGATAAAGATGTGAGTGTCTGGAGCTCCAGCCTCCTGCCAACACCCCTTTCTAGATAAACCTACAGAAATCTGGACACTCAAGCCTCCTGGGCACCAGCACACGGACCAGCTAGTTCTCTCCATCACGAGCATGCTCAAGGTCAAGCTCCCACAGTTCTGCGTCAGGGGAGATGGGCCGCAAACAGCACCCCCAGGAAGCGGTCAGGGACAGGAGATGGGGCCCTGGGCCTGATCCAGAGCCTGGCACGTACCACGCGCTCAAGAAATATTTATGGAATGAGAGAATGAACACAGAGCAAGGGGAAAGGGGCCCCATCGATAACTCACTGGTTCTTCTCAAAAACATTCTCAGAGGGCAAATCTGCTGTAAAGGAAAGTGAAGCTTGACTTTCTGGGGTGCGTGGGGGTCAGTCTGGGGCTGGACACTTTGTGAGTTGTGAGCTAGAAGGCTGAGAGGCTCTGGACGGGAGGGGACGGATCTCTGGGCAGAGAAGGGATCATAGGATTGGGAGCCAGAGTTTGGGTCAGCAAGTCTCAGTGACTTTATCTGTAAAATGGGGCACATGGTTCAGAGAGTGAAGTGAGATCAACATGCTGTCTTTACAAATGCAAATTAAACCAGTTCTGTAAGCTCCTTTCCTGGCTTCCCAGGGTCCTCAGGAACCAGGTTCCGGATCCTTCCGGGAGCCCAGGCTCACCTGGCTCGGCCCGCCTGAGGCAGCCACCCCCACACAGGCCCTCCCTGCCTCCCGGAGCCAGTCTTGCTCACAGGCCCCCCACGCGGGCAGCACCCCTCTGTGTGGACCTGCGTGCGCTCTCTGCCACCCTGGTGGTCGCAGCCAAGGGCAGACCCAGCGTAAGCGCCCATCACGACAGAGCTGGCTAAGTAGGTGCTCTCTCTGCCGCTGTAAGGCCAATGGTCTCAGAGACAAGCTGTTGAGGAAGCCAGGGACTCGGAGCAACGCTGCCACGTCAAAGCAAGTCAGCTGGGCGAGCTCCTGTTTGCACAGAGATGGGGATCCCGCTGCCTCTGGCGGGGACTTGGTCGCTGGGGGGATTTTCACCGCCTGCCCTTCCCACCTGTGACTTGTGCAACTAGGGAGCGTATTCCTCTTCAAAAGGAAGTTGTAAACGCTGCCTCCCTTGCCTGGTGGGGGATCAGACGGGATCACCAACCATCTCTGGCCTGGAGCAGCAAGGTCGGCACCTGCTGCGGGAAGGTCAGCGGAAAGGAGAGAGGGAGGGCTTCCTGGCTGGTGTTGGAGTGGCGCCCAGGGGAGCCTGCGAGCGAAGGGGGTTGGATGTGGAGGGATGAGGGAGGAAGGGGCGGGTGGTCCAGAGAGAGCACCTGTGTGAGAACCGGAGGGACGGACGGCGCGCGGGCTGCTTACCTTCACTTGGTGTTCTATTTTATATGCAGTTTGTTGAAACTGGCGAATCTCTCGGATAATATGAGATATCTGTGAGAAGGAGGGGAGTTTAAGAAGACAGTTTGCTGTCTCCGTGCCCCTGCTTCGCAGAGCAGAAGGGGCACCAACAGCCAACCCTGACGTCGGTCTCCTAATTCCCAGACACGCCAGCCCCTGGGAAGCCCCACCGAGGCAGGTGCTTTGCTTTGAACCAGCAACCTGTTCCCATGGGTGAGACTGGTCAAAACTCTACAGGTTAATGATGCAAGGGACAGAAATGGTATCGTTCCACGAGTGGGGCAGGCTGGCCAACATCCCAAAGCAGCCCCCACTTCTCAGCAAAGGTCAGGGCACCTGCCACGTTCTGAATGCCCTCTGTGGGCAGGCACCCCGCGAGGGGGCCCCGACCCATCCCCAGGACAGTGCTCACAGCTTGCGTTTGACCGAGAAGCCCTTCTAGGGAAGGAATTCTTCAGTGGAAGCCCGTCACACAGCACCGACCCAACATCCCGTGAGAAGGCAGACAGGCTGGCTACAACTCTGGCCCCCGCCCCCTCCCAGGCCCCAGCAATCTCTGGGAAAATTTGAAACCGATTCGCTTGCGCTTGGGAGGTGCTGTGTTCATGATTTTGTTGGGCCCCACGAAGCAAGTGTCAGTATGGACACTAAAAGAAGGGGTGCAAATAAAGGCACAGGCCTTGGGTCAGACAGACGCGGCTTGAGACCCAGCTCTGCCCTTCACCGCGGAGTGACCGTGGGCCGGTCACTGGCCCCTCCGAGCCTCAGGTTGCTCCTCTGGGGGGTGGGGCATACCATGCCAAGAGCACCCACCCTTCTGCTGCGGGCATCATTCGAGGGGGTGCGGGGAGGCCGGCTGGCGGGGGAGCCCTGGATCTCGCTGGAGGAGTCAGACCAGGCTTCCGAGAGCACGTGCCCAACGGAGCAGGCCTGGTGGTCCTGGGACTCGGTTCTGGGCTTGGACGCCCCCGCCCGCCCCCCCGGGGGACTCACCATTCTCATCTTGGAGAAGTTGACCAGGCCGTCCTCCGTGTAATTGGGCGTCCCCTCTTCGATGAAGGCCAGGTCGGTGAGGTACATCCCCAGGTAAGGGACACAGGGGGGGTCACAACTTCGAAGCGAACGGCATTAAACAACAGTTTTTCATTTAGAACCATGAGCCTCTGCTCACATAGAGCACCCTGCATACATCTTTTGCTTTGTTGGAGGCAAAGGGCTTTCTCTTCACTGAGAATCACGGGAACTCTTGGGCCCAGGATTGTCGATGGCTTTGAGGGCAACGGGGTGACACGGTACCAGCAGGCCCGGAGCCTCTCCACCAACGGTCTCCTCCCTCCCTGAGCCAGAAGGCCCTCCCCTACCTCTCCGCCCTGTCCAGGATGCAGCCCCTCCCCCGTCTCTCCAGTGAAACTCTCCATCCAATCCTGCTCTGGAGTCACCTCCCAGTGGACTCTGCAGCCCCCACCCCGTTCTGCCAGCTATGGTACCCAGCCCCCCAGCGTCCTTCCGCTCCTTGAGACTTCTCTGCCTCCACATCTGGCCCCACGGGGATGTCCTGCCCACCCAAGCACAGGGGTGCCTGAGCAGGAAACCCTGGCCCTCTGAGGTCACCCTCCTGCAGGTAGCCTCTGGGCAGGGGGTTGGGGGACAGTGTCCATGACAGGTGACTTTTTGGGGGGGCATTTTTTGGGAGATGGGGCCCAGGACTGATGGACTACACCTCTCCGATTTGTGGCTCTGAAGCAGGGGCTTTTGTTACGGCTCTGTGGTGGCATCTTCCAGTGCCTCTGGGTGGGACCAGGAAAGGGCCTGATTGAGTGATGGGTCCGGTGGCCACCATGTTCTGGCAGAGCTCCAGGGAGTGCCCTCAGGGGACCCCCACAGTGTCCTACAGCCTCCTCTTAGCTCAGCACACAGATGCAGGGGGCTCTCTGCACGTACCTGCCGGTGCAGCTGACCCCCTTCCTAGACCCTCTGACTTTGGTCTCCTCCAGGCCACGTGGCGACCTGCCCCTCCAGAGGAAGGGGAGGTGGGGAGGACAGGGGGTGGGGGGCAAGAACAGAAACCCAGCCTCTGCCCCGCGCCTGCTGGTTGTGTGACCCCCGGCCAGGTCTCTGGGTCCCGAGGCGCCCCTCGTACAGGCGAGCGGGTGGCGAAGGTGGTGCTTGGTGTTCAGATGGTTGAGTGAGGCCAGCGGACACTCTATTAAATAACACTGATTCATACGGTAAGAAACACCAGATTTTCATCTGGTGGTGGTATGGCTTTAATGCCTTCTGACACTGGCCATTTCCTCCCCCACTTCTTCCTTTGTAAACAAGTAGCAACAGGTCTCAGAGTGTTGGCAAAGACCGGATCCCAGCCAGAACTCAGTAACATTGCTTTGTTCCCACTGTATCTATTTATGGCAGTAACCTTGTATGATGGCAAGTAAGGTGGTTTTCCGTTTACTGCCCTGATAGTGTTTTCCTTCTTAATTACATTGATTTTTGGGAAAACGTGAGTTACTTATAGGGAGACCTGCTAAGTGAATGTAAATACGGCTGGCACATGGGTGGGAGGTGGGCCCTTGGAGTTGGGGAGACCAGGGGCAGGACAATCGGTTTTTGAACTCTAGGTCTTGACTCTTTCTTGGGTATTGAAAATAATTTAGCAAGTGTTGATCAGATTTTTTTTAAATAAAAAAAAAAGCAGAAGTAGAATAAAAAAAAAACGTCTGAGTTCATTGCATGGACCAAGAGTATACGTTGCTTTGTGACGTTTTAGTTCCTGTTATGCATATATGCATTTCTAAAAAATATATATATATTTTTTACTGTGGGTTGTGATTTAGAAAAAAGCCAGACCTGCACGGGTCACTGGCAGGCATCTCTGCGTCCCACCAGACAGTCTGTGACCATTACAGGCCCGGCTTTCCACATCCCGCCCATCTCCCTGCGAGTCTGAGGCATGGGCTCAGGGCGGACGGAGACGTAGTTCAAAGATGGAGAAGGAGCCCTGGGGCCGGCGGAAGGGGGCAGCTTGCTGGCCAGCGGTCTCTGGCGGGGCTTCCCAGCTCACCCTGCTGGTTCTGCACCTGATGGGGTAACTGGGTAACCCGAGGCTTGGAAGCACCTCTTGTCTGGGATGGAGGGGGGAGTGGGGGGCCATGTGGCTGCAGAGTGTTCCTGGGGGCCTTATGAGGTCTCCGACTGTCCAGACTAGTGGGAAGGATCAGGCGTTCCCCTGACCGCGGTGGTGGCTTTCCCTGACCTATTTATGGCGGCTCACAAGCCGGCTGTAGAAACACGGCCGACATGTAAGTTAGTCACTTGCAAGTGGCATCACCGGCCCCATTACCACTCTGTCCCTATTCCCTGCTTCCTAGTGAGGTGCTTCGAGGAGGGGCCCGGGAAGAGCACACGTGAGTCACTCGATCCCGTGCAGGCACAGGTACTCGCACGCACAGCAAATCCATACACGTAACCAACCTACCAAACCCAGAGGCGTGCCGGTCACCGTGTGGGGTCGCTGGCGTGGAGGTGGCAGGTGGGGGCAGGTGTGCGGAGGAGAGGGCCAGTGGAGGGTCCCCAGAGGGTGCCCCTGTGCGGGGACTGACCCGAAGGAAAGGCAAGCATGCTGAGGGCCCTTATGTCTGGCTAGCTCTGAGCTTTCCCTGGGGGCACCCCGGGCCCTCTTGGGTGGGGTCTTGCCCTGCCTGGATCAGGGCCCACCCACAAGAGCTGGTATGGGGTGGCTTCCTCTGCTGACAGACCCCTCACATGCCCGTACCTGGGGTTTTAGGGAAAAGAGAGGAAAGTGCCCCACTTTCCATTCTAAATGCTGCCTCTGGCTTTCTGGGCAGTGCCTAGATGTGGTCTTGCCTTTCTGTGGTTGTTTGGGGTCCCCAGCTGGGATGTTTCTTTCCACCAAGAAATTCTTGATGCTGTCAAGGGGGACGGCAGAGATCACAGGGTACCAGCAACTGAAAGTCAGAGGCGGCTGCCCAGTAGGCTTCCACCGAGGGGTCACCTCTCCCTTCTCCCTCCTCTGCCCTGCCCTGGCGGGGGGACGGGCCACTCTCCCACCCACTGCCTCTGCTGCCTCTGGTTAGGGCCCTCCTCTCCTTCCCAGGGAGGGTGTGAGGGGCCCTCAGGCTGGGCTGTGTGGCCCGGAACCCCCGTGGCCAGGGCCCAAGCCTCCGGCATGCGGTGCAAGAAAATTAGGCACTCAGATTTGGGGGAAAAAATTGCCATGGGGCAGGAGTGGAGGTGGGGCCCAGAGTCCAGTCTTGTTTTTTGCCACCTGGACACTAACTGCTCTGTCGTCTCATTAACGGGAGACCAGGCTTTGCTGGGTGGGCACAGGCAGAAAATCAAGGCGGGAAGAGGTATTCGGGTTGTTGGAGCCCTTGGACTCCTTGTAACCCCACAGATGGGTGGATTTTCACCCCCGTGAAGAGGAGGGTCTGGTGAGGGGCTGGGGGTCAGCCAGCCGACTGGCTCCCCCATGGCCACCCCTGTCTTTCACTCATTCAGCAGCCTGCAGCGAAAGCCCCGCCCCCGGGGTTCCTCTCATGGCAGGCTTCCTAGTCAAATTAAAGCCAATGTGCGGATAGGCAAATGTGCGCTGGGTTAAGATTAGACGGGGGGGGGGGGCAAAACCAGAATTGACCCCAAAAGGGCTGGTGACCAAATTTTACTGACAAATTTAGATCTCAGCCAAACCCTGTGGCACGGAGCTGTGGGAGGCTCTGATAGCTGGCAGGCTGACAGGAGGGGACAGCCTCACGGGCTCCTCAAGGTGTGGTTTGGGGAATGAGCAGGGCAGATGAGGTCATGCTCAGGGTGTCTGGGCAGGGGACTGACAGGTGCACACAGCAAGCGCTGTAGGTGGACCTGGGGGGATTTAAGAAGGTGGGCGAGGGGAAGGGGGTCAGATGTAGGGGTGAAGTCTTGGCTGGTAAAGGTAATAAGGCTATTCCTTGTCATAGTGTTATGGGCTGGGACCCACATGGTAAGGCTCAGCACGGCTCCTTGTCCGGGTCACCAGCTGTGCCCACAGACTGCCACTGTCCCCTGCCTGGTGAGATGGACCCCCAAGGGTCCACACGGCACGAATCTACCGGGAAACCACAGCGCCTCTGGAGAAGGGGCACAGGACACATCTGCCCCGTGTCTCCCCAATCTCTCGTTCCCCCACAGGGCTTGGCCTATGTGTCCATAAAGCAAGAACCTGGGTTGCACGAAGGCCTCAGCCCCCAGAATGCCTGGAGACCCCGCTGCTCCGTGTGGCAGGGAGTGGAGGTGCCTGGGACAGTCACTGACACAGGCCCAGGGGAAGGGGGAAGACAGCATGGGGACCGAGACAGAACAGGGGCCATGGAGGCACGGAGGCGGTGGCGGACGGACAAGGAAGCCATGGGAAGGCAGATGGAGGGGCGCCCGGGGCGGGCGAACAGGTTGGTGAATGCACGATGCGGCAGCCCTCACAAGCACAGCCCAGGGGGCTCCGCGGAGCCCAGGCACCAGAGACACAGCACAGATGCGGGTGGGACATCTGTCTGGGGACAAGTACGTGGAGATGCGTACAGCAATGGCACACGGAGCTGGCAAAGGGCAGGCCGGGGCAGCGGGGGGCTGATGAGGAGGGCAGACAGGGCTGGCAGCAGGGTGTGCAGGCCTGCTGGGGGTGTGGGGTCTGCCTCGTCCCCAGGCCCTGGGGTCAGTGACCATGTGGTCTGTCCTGACGGCAGGACAGGCGCTCGTGGGCTCTGTAAGGAGCCAGGACCCCCGGGCGGCGCAGGGTCTCTCCACGGGGCATGGGGAGGAAAGGGTGAGGCCAGCCCGGCTCGGCCCACGGAAGGATGGCAGAGCCCAGCGCAGCGGCCCGAAGCGCACAGCTGCGGGGGTGATTGTGAGCACGTCGCACATGAGTGGCCACGGCGGGTACCGCTGGGCTGGGCTCTACTCTGCTGGGACAGCCACACAGGACGCGGCCTTGGGCAAACCGAGCGCTGGCCTCACAGGCTACTCTGTGCCAAGTTCTGGCTCTGTCACCACTGCCCCAGGGCCTCAGTGTCCTCGTCTGGAGAAGCAGGTTGGGAGAATCTACGTGCAGTGGTGGTTCTCTGGGGGGTGATTTTGCCTCCTGGGGTAGTTGGCCATGAGCGGAGGCAGTTTTGGTGGTTAGAACTTGGGGAGGGGGTACTGGCATCTTGTGGGTGGGGACCGGGGCTGCTGCTAAACATCCTACAGGGCACAGACAGCCCTCGATACAGGACCATCCTGGTCTAATGACAAGAGGGCCGAGGCTGGGAGGCTCTGCAAACAGTAAGATGCAGCTGTTGGGGGGGCTCTGCAAACAGTAAGGTGCAGCTGTGGGGTGCTCTGCAAACAGTAAGCTGCAGCTGGGGGGGCTCTGCAAACAGTAAGGTGCAGCCGTGGGGTGCTCTGCAAACAGTAAGCTGCAGCTGGGGGGCTCTGCAAACAGTAAGGTACGGCTGGGGGGCTCTGCAAACAGTAAGGTACAATTGTTGCCCAAACCGCATTTCTTTGATTCTAAGATGCCATTTTCTGCACAATGCGGTCTTGTTTTGGGGACTAATTCTCAAAAAAAGGAACGCAATCACATTAAATTAACACATTGACCTTAGGGCATATTCTGATGTCAGAAATACTGAAACGTGGGCAAACGTGCACGTCAGAAGGGAGGCCTCTGTATCACAGCTGTTGGGCTCACGGGGACGGTAGCATGCTCCCCCTGCCCCCTCCCCTCTCTCTCTCGGGAAAGGCCACCGAGACTCTGGGATTTCTCCAGCAGACCACAGAGGGCGAAGCTGACCCACCCTGGAGGTCTGGGGGTGCCTAGGGGTCTTGTGGGTAGACGGTCGGACAGACAGACAGACAGACCTCCTGCTCCAGCTGATGTGGCCCGTGAACGCTTCTGCAATGCGGTTCTACGATTTAAACAGTAATGGTGACAAAATGACACACACTTACTTTTTCAGAGCTTCTCTCAGATTCTTAAATCTGCCCTCTGATGATACAAGCTTTTGGAGCTTATCAATCAAAGCTTTTGTCTAGAAAGAATTAGAAGCATTTACTAACACGTGGCACGCACTGAGGCCCAAGGCACCGGCCCGCACTCCACGGGCTGCCCTCGGGGCTCCGGAAGCCCCTCTGCTCTGCCCCGTCAGGCTCAGGGGACCGCCTGAGCCTGGAACCTCACCCCCCAGCTCCTGACGAGTCAGACACGGACCATTGTCCTGTGTGTCTCCAGCGTACACGCGCCCCCTTCAGAAACACAGCAGTGGGGTGTGGGGGGCCTGGAAACCCTGGGCACCCTGAGAATGGGGGGTGGGGTGGGGCTTGGCGACTGCAAGGAGCCCCCCTCCAGGGCAGAGCTCTCCCACGCACTGAACCCCAGAGTTGCGGATGAGGGTTACACCTTCACCTGTAGCTCTCAGGACCCCACGCGAATGTAAGAATCGAGAAGGAAGATGGCAGACGAGCTGATCCTCTAGAAGAACAGGCTTTGCAGGGGAAGAGCCAACCCCTGGCCGGGGCCCGTCTGCCGCACGTCAGGCTGGAGACTGGCGGCGGCCTAGGTGAGGCCCGGCTTGGCGCTCCTTTCCTGGTGCGGCCGGGGACCCCCCGTGCCTTGGTGGCCCCCACTCCCTCATTTACACAACGAGGAGGTGGACTAGAGAGCCTGCTTTCCAGCTCCCGTCCTCAAAGCCCAGACCGTGGCCGAGGGGACATGGGCCACAGCCCCTAAGCTTTGGGCCAGACATTTTCTGAGAAGTCTGCCCCCAGAAAACGACACGATAGGAGAAGCACACCACGTGTGCTTCCCAAGGGGCGCGGCTGGAAGAGCACCCCCTTCCGGTTGCTCCCCGACTGATGAGAAGCGTCGTCACTGGTGTGGACCAACCCTGCTCAAAGCAGAAACGTGTTCTGGATCCCGTAAAAGGGACACACATAGCCAAGGGCACGGGATTCTGCTTCCTCCCGAAATGGCTGCCCTCACGGATCTGTCCTGAAGTCTGCACGCCCAGGCCCACCTCCGCCCCGGCGTCTCGGCGTCCTCCCCGCAATTTTCCAGAGTTTTCTGTCCAGGGCTGCCGCCCCACGCGCTCCTCCTTCCCACCCGCCTGGGAGGAAGGACCTGAGGCGTGAGGCCAGATGTGGCGGCTGAGAGTCCTAGACCCGGGGGCCCGGCAGGGCGCTGCGACCACCCTCAGCGAGCACACAGGCAAGGCTGCATACCTCGCAGAGCACTGGGTCTCCACGTTCACACCTGGAGAGCGGGAGGGTAGGCCCAGGTATTCCCTAAAGGCAGCACGAGCTCAGATACCCTAGGACTGTGGGCCCCACAGAAACTAGATCCGGAGGCCCCAGGGGCCACGTAGCTCCAGACGAAGTATCACCCGCCAGTGGTCGTGGGAACCTAGGGAGGGTATTCTCACATGTGGAGGTTTGGGGTATACACTTGGGGCCAATCTGTGGCTCTGAGTTGGGCATGCTTTGATTCCTTCCACATCTGTGTTCCTCTGGGGCGTCGCTCTGTCCAGGAAGGAGCTCTGCAGCCTGGGAGACCATGGGATTTTCCCAGCCACTGCTTAAAATACTGAGTTCCGAAGCCACTCCAGTATCTCCTGGTGGGGCCAGGAGCTCAAGGGGACACAGGCCCCCGGGACCCTGGGCGTCTCTGCTGCGGGCAGAAATAAGGGGCACTTGGAATATGACATTGAAACCAGAGACCAAGCGAGGAGCCTGCCTTGGACGTGGCGTGGAGGACAAAGGTGTTCACAGAGCCCCCGGAAGCTCATCCCTTCCTGTCCACCAAACAGAACACTTCCGGATGGCCAAGGCTGCTCCCTCACAAAGGGGCCCCGAGGTATTGTGGGCCAAAGAGAGACTTCTGTCCCCCCAAGAATGCAACTCTCCTCCGGAGGGGCGATACACAGCTCTGTTAGTCATCTGCACCTGGAAGGGCGCCCCCTTTCAAGTGGATGGGGCAACGGATGGGAGAAGAACAGGGTAATGGAGCCAGAAGTCCCCACCTAAGCCTGACTGCTTGGCTCTTGCACGGGCTGGCCTGGACTTGGACCCAATGCTTTCCCGCTTTGGGCCAGCACATTCAAGCCAACGATGAAAACCCGATGCTGGGGCTGTGTTTTAGGCCCTGCTAAGAAACGTAGCCCCTCTGGTGGGTCTCAAGTATCCACAGGACACCTGCAGAGGGACAGCGACCGTCCCTGGCTGGGGCTGGCCAGGGACTGTGCAGACACATAGGGCCCAGCCGAAGGGCTGGGAGAAGCCAGCAGGGCCCAGTGGGCCACAGAGTGTGCAGATCTGCGTGCGCTGTCCAAGGCACCTCTGATGTTTGGACCCAGGTTCCTGGATGGCATCTGAGAACGCAGGCCACGCCATGCACCTTGACCTCTAGCTGCCCTCCATTTGCACTCCCCTAAGAGAACGGAAGACTTCGGGATGGTCAAGGTGGTTTCCTCCCAACTTCAGACCACGGGTGATGCTGGGGAACAAGGCCAGGAGGGTCACGGAGCCCCCAGTGTGGTGGGAAAGTGGGGCTGGTCTGAGGGCAGGGGAAGAAAGATGCGGACCCAGACTAGGCCCTCAGACTCCGCCACCTGCCCTGCCTGAGCCCTGACAGGCCAAACCAGCCTGGATGACTCGGGGGTCCCACATCAGCCTGCTCAGCCCCTGGCTTCAGGAGTTCCCAGCACCGCGTGCCACGCACGGCCAGATGTGCCCACGCCTGAGTTCCCGAGCTCCAGCCTCTGTTCTTTCCGGGAGCCCCTGTCCTTGTCTTAGCCCTGGCGTGTCTGTGTGTGAAGAGGCAAGAGGTCCAGGCTTGCCAGGAGCAGGGCCAACCCTGTAACACGCTGTAGGCTCACTGTCACCGGGGCCAGGGTGACCAGATATGGGGAGGGGCGGCATCCCAGGCCTTCCTGAGTCTGGCTGCTTAGCTAAGGAAGAGGAATTTATGGACCTGCTGCCTGCCTGGGGGCGCAGGATCGTGACCTGCCACTGGCATGAGGATGGTGGGGCAGGTAATAAAGAGGAGTGAGGAGGGCTCAGTGTGCAAATCCAGAGCTGTCCAGATGAGACAGGCCCCTTGGAGACACTGGGCCCCACAGAGCCCACCCAGCTGCAGGACCACAGATTCCGCTGCCAAGTTATCAGTGCCTTTAGAGGCTTGCTCTGCCCTGTGGCGGTGCCTGTCCAGCCTCCTGCACACGTGTAGGCTGGGGCTGGGGAATCCACCATGTGCACGAAGGAGGTGGCCCCACTGTGTGCTCCTCTTAGGAGCGCTGCCTCCTCACGACCACAGTGTAGGGAACTTTATCCCCGAGGAAGAATCCGCATTTCAGAATCATGTTCTGAATGAATAAAGATCAAGCTCGCATTTAAGATCACTGATTCTCCCTGGTTATCCCTGGTGGCCAAAAGGGCTGGTGAGACTAGTGTCCTGGGAAGGAACTTGCAAGACCGTCCGGCCACCGTCTCGGCAGCCCTGCAGATCTGGATTGGCATCTGCACGAAGCCACCACTCTTGTTCCGACACAAGGAAAAGAGCATTGGACCAATCGTCACTGTCTTACATGCCCTGCTTTGCAGTGTTAATTATTCAAGTGGGAATTAAAGTTCCATGGGTCCCAGTGCCACATTGGTGGGCCTGATACCTGGTCCCAGTTGATACAGGAGAAGAGGTTCACCTGGGAGTGTTGGCCCTCACCCTGTCCTTTGCCCACCTATGGATGTCCAGAGGCCAGCACTCTGGTGTCCCAGCCCAGCCCAGCCCCAGGCAGGCAAGGGTGCCGGCTTCCCGCCCGCACCTGCTTAGAGACTTTGAGCCACGTCTTTTTCAGCCGGAATATTGCGCTCCGGTTCATGGACGAGGTGATCTCCAGCACAGCATTATAGTTGTGTAAGCAGCGGCATATGTCGGCCACGGCCACCCATTTCTCGATGGCGCTCACTCTTGCATTGATGTCCTCATTGCGGATGATTTCTGAAGCAATCAAGTTGCTGATCTTTAAGCCCATGCAATAAGACAAGAAAAAAATAAGAGTCATAAGTATTGCAAAGCTGATAAATCACCATTATTTGCAGATGATAGGATTGCCTGTTTGAAAATCCCAAGACAGTGCTCTGGAACATTACCAGAACAACTATCAGAGCTCGTTAGGGTGGCTGGTTAAAGATTCAACATACAAAAATGAGAAGTTTTCCTATGTATTGGCCATACCAACTAGAAGACACCATGAAAAAGATCTTCACAATCCCAATGGAAATGTGTAAATTACCTAGGAACCTAAACTGATGCGAACTTTGGAAGATCTTACATAAAAAAAATGTACCTACATGAAAAAAAAAAGGTTTTAATTATGAAGAAAAAGATCAAATTCCCAAATGGGAATATAAATATACCATTTTTCAAAACTAAGACATGACTTTAATGCAATCCAATAGACATGAAATGGGAGCTTTCCTGAGAACCTGACAAAGTGATTCCACGGTTCATCTGGAAGAATAAAGGAGAGCCAAGCTCTGTGACAGTCTCCACTGTACAACTGGGGCTTGGGGAGGACCCATGCTTCGTGGCATCCCGGTCTCACATATAAAGTGGAAGGGGTCTCCCTGCCCCCACAGACAGGCACATTCACAGGCACAAATCAAATGTGGGCAGGACCGGGGGCAGTTGAGGAGCGTGGGACCAAAGCATTGGTCCAAAGCATCCTTTGCAATTTCCTATGAATCTATAATTATTAAAAAAAAAGTAAGAGTATTTGTTATAAAAAAATTAAGGTAATAAAAGGACATTTACAGATGAATAAAAACTGTAGGGCTTTACTGTCAAGAACTCTTTTCAAAAATAGTTTCTGAAGGATGTATATCAAAAGGATGGATTGTAAAACTATTTAAGAATGGAAACCCCTGAAGAGAATCAAGAAGGAATGATAACATAACATAGTGCACATACTATAACTCTTAATTACATTGAAGTGATAAAAGTTTCTTTTTTTCCACCACAATATTGAACCCAAAACCAGTTTTATATATAAGTTATACAATTTTTTTTAAAGGAGTAGCTCAATAGAATCTTCCAGAAAATAGAGAAAAAAGAGTATCTTCTAACTTATTCTATGAGGCCAATATAATCTCAATACCAAAACCAGATACAGACAATACAAGAAGGAAAATCACACACCCATTTGTTTAACATACCACGTCCATGTTAGTTTGTCCCTGGAACGTGAGGGTGGTTGACTATTAGAGAAAAATCTGCATTCACCACATTAGCAGACTAATGGGGGTAAACCGTAGGCCCATCTCAATAGATGTGAAAAGAAGTGTTGATAAAATTCATCATTTATCTGTGGTAAATACCATTAGCAAACAAGGAAAAGAATTTCTTTAACCTCATAAACAAGCATTACCCCAAACGAGGAAATAGGGGAAGTACTCTGGAACCACCACTGAGATTCATTATCAGCATTTGCACTCAACTCCGTCCTAAGGGGCTGCAGGCTGCAGGGGTGCACTCTGGGCACCTCGGTTCCCCACCCCCCTCATTCTAGCCCTGATGCTGGAGAGCCCAGTCGGACTCAATGAGGCAAAGAATCAGAGAAAGGTCTAGAAACAGTGGCAGGTTGTGATGGTCTCGGTCATGGAGGCACACATTCTGTGTCTGGTGGAAATGCCGGACTTTAAGAGAGATGGCCAGATGCCAGGTGGTGATGAGGACAGCCCTCGGAGGTGGATTGCGTGGGTTCAAAGCAGGCTGTCCTGCTGTGTAATGTTGGGGATGGAATTTAACCCCCTTGGTCCTCAGTTTACCCGATCATAAAGTGAGAGAGACGGGGTTAAACGAGACGGTGATGACGAAGCCCGCGGCACACCGGCCGGCATGAGGCAAACAGGCCGCTGATGCTTAGGTCGTGTCCTGGCCCTTGGCTCGCCTGGGTCCCGGGCACACCCTGGGGCAGGGAGGGCGCGGGAGGGTGTTTCTGGGACCCGCCCACCCTCTCCACTTAACTCTCTCCAGCTCCGACAGGGGCCCCCTGTTCTGCTGCTGGGTTCCCTACAGGGCTCCGCCCCGAGCTGCAGTAGGGGGGTCTCCTGCCTTTCCTCCCGACGGCCAAGGAGCCTCCCTGGTGCGGGGTGTTGGCCGGGCAGCCCAAACAGACAGTCAGGACAAGCAGAGTCCTGTGCTCCAGCATCCAGCCATCAAGGGCTGTCACTTGGGCAATGACTTGGCTCAGAGTGCCCTCGGGGCTCGTAGGGGGCGGGAGCCGCCGGCGCCCTGTGCTGGCGGGGGCTGGAGGCGGAGCGGTCCTGGGGATGTCGCCGGGCTACGTCTTCCTCCAGCCAGACACTCGTCAGGAGACCCCAGGCATCCGCCCTGGGAGCCTTGGTCTCCTTTTGTCTACAAGGTGCACTAAGAGTCGGTGTGAGATTATTGACGCCTACAAATCACAGGAGTCCGGTGCCTCATGTGGAGCCCACTCTTGCACCCAGCACCTCGAGGGTCCTGCCGAAGAAAAACCCGGAAGAGAAAGGCACTGCCCCCTGACCCCGGGCCCCCGTACTCACGTCATTGAAATGCTTAGTGGTCTTCATGATGTAAGGGGTCCGTTCGTTCTTCTCCAGTTTCATCCAGCCCTGTCCGAAGAACTCCCTGTGGAAAGTAAGGAAACCTAGGGCCAATGAGCTCTGCCTTGCTCAGTTCTTTGCTGTGATTTCTCTGCTCTTTGAAAGGCTTTTACTTCTCGGGGAGGAACTTCCTGCAGAGCCCCAGAGAGGAAGGGATCCTGGGCTGGCGTCTAGCTCTGCCTGGCCCTGCTCAGGGCCTCATCTGTGAAACGGGAACATGAGCACACTTTCCCCACGGGGCTGCTGCCAGGCGAAGACGAGAGACTCTGTGGGAGGCACATCATCTACTGTGGAGTGCAGAGTGCCGGCTGGTCCTGTCCTGGAGCTCGGGCCTGACGGGGAGAACTCACATCCCAGGCTGGTGTGCAGAGAGGAAGGTCTGCAGTCTACGGACGGAAGGGGAAGGAGCCCGCAAGCCAAGCCGGCTGAGTGTTCTGCTGAGGAGGACCACGGGGGAAGGCCACAGACGGCCCAAGCCTCCCAGGGGAAGCTCTGCGTTTGGTGAGGGACCCCGGCCGCGTGCTGTGGGCAGGAGGGGAGTGAACTGGGTTTGAAAAGATTCTCTCTTTCTCCTCCCAGAGCAACCGGGCTTCACCAGGAGACGCGGCAGGTGTCCGAGATGCTGCCACCCTCCACCCGGTGACGGCCGGTGGGAGTTTCCGGAAAGCAGAGACCAAAGGCCCTACAGCGGTTCAGAGCTCAGATCTGAAGATCCCAATTTTGGGAAACTATTCTCGGACAGTTGTCAGAAACTCAGAAACACTTGGTTACAAGGAGGTTGACCGCAGCTTTAGATACAAATGTGAAAACTGCAAAGCACCCCATGGGTCCGAGCACCGTCGGGGAATACCGTGCACTTACTAGAGAGGCTGTTAACGGATGTTGGTGGTACGCTGGGAGCTCCAGGAAGGTGGTGCGAATTCATTTAAACAGTGTAACTACCAGGAGCACCCGGGGGAGACTGACTACAGGCGTGGGTGATGCCAGACCTCGGGGCTTCTTCAAGATCCAGAGCTGCCCACCTCCCCCCACTCCTGGGGCACGCACGCGTGCACACTCACACACACGCGTGCACACTCACACGTTGCGTGCAGAACCTGGGGCCAGGGAAGAGGATCCTCCCGCACCCCTGCGGACACCCATGTTTCTGTCCCCCTGTGGAGAGTGCACGTGGCTCAGGAAGTCTAGCGCGCAGGTCCCAGGGATGCAGCGAGGCCGGCTGCGGGGAGGAGGACCCGGAGGGCCTGGCACCCGCGCCCACTCACTCATAAGGGATCTTCTTGAAGACGAGGTGGTCCAGCAGGGTCAGCTGCTCCGCGATCTCCAGGGCCGAGTGGTTTTCAAAGGGCTCTGCCTTCACGCCTTCGGCCTGAGGGGAGCAAGTCCTGAGTTAGCCCTCTTGGATTTCTGGCCGCTTCTTGGACAGATGTGGTCTTGGCCTAGGTTCTGGTGGGTGGGGGAGGGAGGGGGCGGCGGGAGCCTGTGCTCTGTCAGCGCTCACGCGGCAACGAGGTGGCCTTGTCCCAGCCGTGACCGAGACCACAGAGGCGTCCAGAGGACTGCGCGTGGCCCACGTCACTCAGCAGGAAATGGGCTGACTGGGCCTGGAGCCCCGGCTGTGACTCCCAGTGACCCGTCCCTCCCCTCAGGTTCTGTCTGGACACGTAGCTGGCTCCATAGCGTCTCCTTTGAAGACTCAGCAGGTGTGGACTCACAGGTATGATGACCCCCGGGGCACCCAGAAGATGGCTGCCTGGCCTTCGTCTTGGGGTTCCCATGTTTCTGGCCCCCAGGGCCACCGTGGGCACCACCTTTACAGCTGTCCACCGCCTGCCCCCAGCCACAGGAAGTCCAACCCCCAGCCACAGGAAGTCCCTGGGAAACACTTGTCGGGGGACCAAGGCCCCAGTGGCAGGGGTTTGATCAAAGGTGGACATGGAGAGGCCAGTGTCCTTGCCACAGAGGCCCCATGGATGGTCTGCTGGATCTGGGAGGGGGTGGAGGGAGCTGGAGAAGAGAGGGGAAGGAGCACCAGGGCTGGCCGTGGGAGGGGCCTGTGTCCATGAGGGAGGAGGTCAGAACGAGAACCACCCCGACCTCCAACTAGGCCACATGGGACAGAAAGGCCAGCTACCCTGCCCTGAGGCCCCAGGGGCTGGGCTGAGCCCCCCAGAGCTGCACTGCTCACAAGGAAACGGGGTCCACGGCATAGCAAGGGGGCAAGCCCTCCCCCTATCTGTCTGCCTCCCTCCCTCCCCCACTCCCTCAGCAAACAGTCACTGAGGGTCCTTGCTAGACACTGGACACAGAAGGACCAGAAATCACTGTCCTGGGCTTCAGGGAGCTCCAGCCACAGGACGGGGCAGGGACGGAATGCAGGAAAGTAGAGGAAGGGTATCCACGCAGTCGGCCATGGGCCAGAAGCCTGGATGCAGCCACATGGGGACACGAAGCCATCAGAATGACAAGTGGGGACAGGAGCAGCAAGTTTTAGGGTAGGGACCCTCCTGGGGGCCCAGGATGGCTGAACTGTCAGGCCTGAGGGCCTGTGGCTGGCCTAGGCCGGGGAGAGGCCCGTGGGGGCCGGGCAAGGACAGGCAGGCTGCTTACCCTGTTCCCTCTTGGTCACCCAGGAAACAAGATGACCCTGGAGGGGAGGCCAGAAGCACAGCTTCCCCCACCTGCCATGGGGCCAGGCAAAGTCTCCCTGCAAGCAGCCCTTAGGCTCTCTGGTGAGGCCGCTGGAGCCTCCTCCACACTGGAAGTGCCCCCACGGGCTCTCTGGGCTCTGGGAACAAGTCAGGGCCAGGGGGCAGCTCAGCGGTGCTTTGTTCTACAACAGCTCAGGATGTTTGCCAGGGAGCAAGGGGCTCTCGTGCGCTCGAGGGCTAAACATTCCAGCTGGCCCATTGGGCAACTGCTCTCCTGTGGGCAGGCGCCAGGAAGCAGCCCCGTCTCCCAGGGCGCAGCTGGCGTCCTGCCCCAAGGGTCAGTGTGGTGTCTGCATGCAGGAACAGCTTTCCTGCCCCGGGGGCCCCCCCGGCTGAGTGCTGAGCCCAGGGGGCAGGACGTGGGCCGCTGCAGGGAGGTGCTCCCCTAGGTGCTCCCCGTGAGCGGCCTCGCCCATGCCCAGGCCCCGGAGAGCTGGTTGCAGGAGCCGGGAGGGGAGGGGAGCAGTGGGCCCAGGCCCCAGAGTCCTCAGTGTGAGCACCGAGTAGGGCAACGACCGGAGCTCAAGCCGCCAGTTTGGGAAGTGAGCCAGGGTGGGGCTGCCGGGGGGCAGTCAGAACCAGTCTGCATTGAACTTCCCTGGCCGCCATGGTGGCAGGAGCCCAGGCTCTGGGGTGGCTTGCGGTGGCATGCTGGGGGCACAACCCTGACCTGGAGGAGGAAGTGGGCCGGGCCAGGCCCTGGGACACACATCACTCCCTTCCACTGCGTGAACCGCCACCATTAGCTCGCATTCTTTGTGGCAAGCACAGCGCTCCCCGGGGCGCCCACATTTCTGGGCAGGTGGCCAGTGGCACCCCGACTCCTCGGGATGAGGCAGCATGGGGTGTGGGGTGAGCTCTTGCTCCGGAGTCGGAACTGAGCTGAGTGCCAACACCAGTTCTGACGCCGTGACCCTGGGTGGGGCGGCTCACCTCCCTAGACCCCCGCTGCCTCATCTTGAACGCGGGGGTGATGGTATAGACTTGCCGCTGTTGATGAAAGCCTGGCATGGGGTCAGCACAGAGGAGCAGCCCACCAACCCCAGCCGGGGCCCCGGCCCCCCTCCTGCAGGGACCGCGGAGCAGAGAACACGCAGTGGGGGCTGGGGCGGGGCCGGTGAGCGGAGGGTGAGGAGAAGAGGGGCAGAGGTGTGACGGTTTGAATTTCCTCCCTCCAAAATGTGGCGCTGAGTCCCACTCCCTGGTATCGGGGAACATCACCTGATTTGGAAATAGGGTCTTTGCAGATGTGCCCGGGTTAAGAGGAGGTCATTGGGGTGGGTCCCAATCCCACAGGACTGGAGTCTTTACAAGAGGGGGGCTTAGGCACAGGGAGAGACCTGCTCAGGGAAGGTGATGCAGAGACACGCAGGAGTGAGGACCGCCTGGAAAAAGAAGGCGGACATCGGAGGTTCAGGGCCACATGCCAAGGGCCGCCCGGGGCTCTGGGAAGCTGGAAGAGGCAGGAAGGCCCCTCCCCGCAGCGTCCTCCAGCGACACCTGACTTCCAACCCCTGGCCTCCAGGACCGGGACAGGGTGCAGCTGTGAGTCAATCTGCAGTGCTTGGCTCGGCCGCCCCAGGGGGATGCGTGCTGGAGGGGACGGCCCGGTGAGCGGGAGCCCGGCTCACCATCTGTGTGATCTCCTCCAGCGTGATCTGGTTGTCGCCCGGGTCCTCCTGGGTCAGAGTCCTAGGGGACGAGACGGCGCGATGGGCCCCGTGCAGCCCGTACCCCCACCTCGCCTCCCCAGGCAGGTACCCGTGGCTGCCTCGTCTCTGCTCTGTGCTTCCCGAGCCGGAGCCCACTGCCCATTTGTCAGGGACGTCTCCCTGATGGCCTGTCAGGACTCAGCTTCCTGACCCCTGGCCTCACCGTCTGCACAGGAGGAAGACGGACGAGTTCGGGGATGAACAACGTAACCCTTTTCCGTCCCGCAGATGCCCCGAGCGCTGGCAGACAGGAGCGAGCCTGCCCCGTCCGCACAACTCTGGGCAGCGGTGTGAACGCTCCTCCTGGGGGTGTCGTGTGTGGCCACGTGGCTCATGTGACTGAGGAGCTGAACCCTCAATCCGTGAAGATTTAACAGCCCCGGGAGGGAGAGGCGGCCACGACGGGCGCCACGGACCAGGCAGGAGTTGGGGGCTGTGCAGGGAGAACGTGGTTCCTGCCTCCAGGGGGTCAAAGTCTGAGGGGAGGAAGGACACATGGGCCGCCTGCTTGGGGGCCCGTCGGCAGAAGTGGGGCACACGGCCCCCCAGCGGCTCAGGGCTCCTGCCCCCGCACCCCTGCCTGAGGCCAGCCTGCCTGGAAGGGCCTCCCCAGCTCCCTGCCCGTGGCCGGCTGTGTGGGGCAGAGCCTGGACCCCGGGCAGCGGGCCAAGCTCAGCAGGGCTGGGGCCGCCCATACCTGATGATGTTGGCCGCAGCCTTTCTCTCCTGGGTCAGCAGCTCGGGGTCGTGCATGACCTCCTCCAGGAAGCTGATCACCTTGCATCTGAGCTCCTCGTTGGTCTCAAAGTCCTGTGGGGGGAGACACGCTGACCCTGGCCCCTGTCCAGCCACACGCGGAGGGCTGCCTGCCTTGTCATTGTTTGCCCTGGCCATGTGGGCGGGCCACCAGGGGAGCCTAGAGACCCTTAGGTGTAAAACTCTGGGCAAGACCGAGGGTCATCCCCTGGCCAGCTGCACCCCAAGGCCAGGACCCTGGGGGTGCGAACCTCCTTGGCCCCCTGCTGCAGACAGAGGTGGAGGGACATAGCCCCGGGGCCCGGCAATGTCCTTGGTGCCCTCCCAGGCCAGACACTGGAGCAGCCCCTTCTGAGGGTGCTGGACGGCTCACCTGGGCTCCCTCCCTCCCACCGCCCCCGAGGCCGTCCTGCTCGCGGTCTCAGAGGGCAGCGGCTCCTGAGGGCCGGCGCCGGGGGGCCCTCCCACCCACCTGAGAGTGTTTGGAGACCCAGTGGCGGAGCACGTTCAGGACGCGGTTGGTGGCTGCTCGGCGGATCACGAACTCCTTGTCCCCGTTCCTCTGGTCGGGGGGAAACCCTGGTGGCACAGGGGACAGAAGGTACAGGAGGGCCAGAAATGGGGCTCAGTGCTCGTCTGGATGTAAAGCCCGGGCCTGGGGGAGCTGGCCACTGCTGTGGCCGAGCTTCTGCCATGGCCGGGCCGCTGCCGCGGTTGGCGGGTGGGCAGCTCCCGGCCGGGGGTCGGTGCTGGCCGAGGCCTGGAGCAGCAAGCCCTGAACACCGGGAGGGGGACAGTTCCCGGGCCTGGGGTGGCCGGCCTGCAGCTGGGCTGAGCCCACGGAGGGAGGGGACCCCCTCCTGCGTACCTGTGCTGGCCAGGGACATCCTCCGGTACTTCTCCTTGTTTGGGGTGCCCTCGTTGGCTCCTGCCGTGGCTATGGCAAAGGCAGAGGCCGCTGACAGGGCACTGCGCGTGTTGTCCAGTTCCCGACACGAGGTCATGACGACCCCGTTGTTGTAGGAAAAGAGGGGGAACTCTGTGGAGGGGGCAAAACCGACCCTCAGCCTTCCCTGGTGCAGCCATCGCTGTCGGGAAACCGGGGGTCCCCACGCTGCAGCAGCCTCAAGACGGGCAGCCTGTCTTCACTGCGTCCCGGGGCTTAGCAGGCAGAGGTGGGGGCCGTTGTCCTGCTCAGGTCCCCAGAGGGGCGTGCCACTCCCAGGGCGGTCTTGGGGTAGGGAAAGCCCCCACCTCCTTCCGCCTTCTCTGGTCTGCAGAAGTCCCCAGCCAGCGCCCCGTACACCCCTGCTGTTCCTTTACCCCCGGGGCTCAGCCGGGCCCGGGCTGCTTGGGGACAGCATCATGAGCCTCCTCACGCTCTCAGCCTATTTGGGATGAGCATGTAGCCCATCCAGTGCCTGACACCAGGAATTCATACTGACGGGCTCGCGGGCGCGGTTGGGTGGGGAGCGAGGCCTGGCTCGCCGCGTGGCCATGTCTCTGCGCAATTGCGATGTCAATACCTGCTCCAAGTAGTGAATGTCACGGTTGGAGGAGAGGGCACGGCCCCAAGTACGTGGCGTCGCGCACCGTGGAGCATCAGTGCCGAATAATGCTGAACTTTTAGCGGTAACGGCCATAGACCCTGACTCTGGAAACCTGTCATGCCATCTTTAAGTCTCTGGAGAGCAATCCACACTCAGGACGAAGTCACAGTACTTAGGCTGTAGGGAGCTCAGTTCTGATGCTTTTGCGCTGCGGTGGCTCTGAGAAGCCGTGGCCGTGGGTGCACGGCTGGGCGGCGCTGGGACTCATGGGGTCTCCCTGGGCGGCCGGCACGGCCGGGGAGTCCATGGGCTGGAGGCGGGAGGGGCCGCTCTGGGAGGGGAGGGGAGCGCCAAGTGGGGACCCGAGACCCTTCGGGGTCAGGAGTCAGGCGTGGGTGGGGGCTGTCAGCACCTGTCGGGGTCTCCTCCCTCGGTCCATGACTGGGACCCACCTGGCCACTCCACAAGGCCGCCTGACCGTGAAAGAACCCGGGTCCCGTGAACGAGACCCCCGCTGGCCCCTCCTGCGTCGGCTGCACCGTCTGGTAATGCGTCGGGGTGACTGTGCTGGGCAGGGGTGGCCCGAGCCCCGCCATCACCCTGCCGGCTGTGACGCACAGCGGCGGCCCTGCACGCGGCGCCCTGGCCCCTGGCCTGCACTCAGCGAGACCCGCCTCCCCCGCCCATCTCATGCCAGGGCCTCCCGTGTCCTCCCGGAATCCACCTGTAACGTCCGAGGGCTGAGCTGTACCTGAGGGACTTTTGCTTTTGACAGACTTTGGTGTCGTTGGCGACTTGGTGGGTGAGGCCTCCGTGTCGCCATCGTCACTCTGGTTTTGGTCGCTGTCCGACTCTTCCCTCACGCAGACTTCTGAGCCTGCGGCAGAGAAGAAATAATGGCACGTGCCTTCAGTAGTCAGTCCTTTAGAAATTCAGGCCCATAAGTGACCGAAGCAGAACAAAGTGGGTTTGGGATTTGCCGGCTGAAGGAAGCGTGACAGCTTTATTTGCTGTGGGAGTGGTCAGAGCCTTTCCTGTGCCAACGGGGGTCGTGAGGCTCCAAGATGGCTCTTTTCTACCCAGGCTTCTCAGACCCTCACGGGCACCACTGGGGAACTCGTTAGGATGTGGGTACTGACTCGGGGCATCTGGAGCGGGGCTGCACATCACTAATGTGTCCCCAGGGGATGCCCGTGTGGCTGGTCACAGACCACACTCTGAGTGGCAAGGTGCCGTACCCTGTGACCCTTCGCATGTGTACATCTCTGTGTGCATGCGTGTGTGTGTGTGAGTGCACGTGTGTCTGCACGTGTCTGAGTGTGTGCATGTGCGTGAAGCATCTCAGTTAGGCTGACCATCTGTGCCACGTTGCCTGGAAAGTCCTGCTCTGTGCCTCTGGTCCCGCACTTCTGGTCACTATCAAAAGTGTCCTGGTTTTGGCAATAACTTACAGTCTCCCCAATCTTGGGAGACTCATGGTTTACACGCTTCGGAGAAAAGTGATGAATTGTGTTAAAAGTGAGATCTTGGTCAAAAACTCTTAACCTATCTGGTCCTCAGTTTCCCCAACTGGAAAGAGAGTGAAATTACACGTGACTGTTTTGAGACTGAGACAGGCTTTCTCTTTAGGAACGAACGTCTGCACACACACGGTTTGGTGCACAATCAGACGGGTTCAGGGGCCCCTCGATCACTGGTCAAGAAACCTGTTAGGAGATCACTTTTCGGACTGAGTCATGTTAAATTTCGGAATGTGACAGGCCTGGATTCGCTGTGGGTTTACAGCAGATGGTCTGCCCTGTCCTTTGCCCCTGCCGGCTGGCATTTGGGGCTCTCTGGCAGGCTGTTCCCTTGGTGACAGACTCAGTCACTGGGCTTCCCTCCCCGCCCCTTGACGCACAGAGGAGACAGCCTATCTTCAACGTCTATCTCCAAGGCCTCTTCCTCAAGGCCTGGGGTTCCACCAGCCCAGGTGTGTGTGTGCGTGCACATGCATGCTAACCGAGACCGCGCCCGGGGCACCCAGGACGTGTTCTGAGCTGAACTAAGACAAAAACCAGCCCAACCATCCAAGGAGATGCCCTTCCAGAATGGTCAGGAGGGCTCTGAGAGTAGGGAGTTGGTGGCCTGTCCCTCCTGGTCTCTGTGCTGCCCCCACCCCCACTGTTTCAGCCTCACCGAGTTGTAGGCGGTTCCTGAACACACAACGTGCTTCCTTGCTTTGGTCTTGCCGGTCCCATCATGCTCCCTTCCTTCTGGTGAAAACCTGGGTCCTCCAGAAAGCCTTCTCTGACTCTGCAGACCCCGTCCCCACCCACCCCCAGGGCCCCTCGAATATCCCTCGAACACAGCACACCAGATGTCCCCATGTGCATGTGTGGTCCTGTTCCTCATCTGCACCGTGAAGCCCAGGGTGCGGGAGCTAGGTCTGCTGACCTCTTCTCTCCCGGGTCCAGGACCCACCCCGCAGATGGATGGACGGACCGGGGACGCAGGACAAACCACACCGTCAGGCAGCCTGACCACGGAACCGCTCATCGGACGCCCTGGGGGTCTCTGCCTGCCTCCTTGCAGGCGGGGCTCGCATGCGTGTGGCCACCACCCTCTGGCCAGGACCCCCAAGCCCCTGCTGCCCTCGGGGAGCCTGGTGGGGCCGGGGGCCGAAGGGGTGGCTCGGCCCGCGCGTCCACTCACTCTGCTTGCTGAGAGCCACGGGCTCTTCGGGCTTCTCAGCGGCCGTGTCGCTCTCGTCCGGGATCTTGTTGGCGAAGCTGCTGGACACGTAGAGCTTGCTGGTGTCCAAGGTGGCCTTGCTGAAGGGCGACACGGCCGAGCACAGGCTGGTGTAGCCGTTGGAGCTGCAGCTGAGGGCGGCCAGGTCCAGAGCCTTGCCACCCGTGATGATGGGGATGTTCAGGGACAGCTTCCGCCGGCGGCTGGGGGACGACGTCTTGGTGATGGACAGGGGCGGCGGCGAGGAGAACTTGCGTGTGGCGCGCGGGGACTTGGGAGGGTCACCGTATAGAAGCTTGTTGTTCTGACCACTGGCGAACAAGAGCTCCAGCGACCTGTGGGGTGGATGGGGGACGGCGACCAAGGGTGAGCGTGGGCCTGGCTGCCTTCCCAGGCCTGGGGTCCCCCTGTCTCCGGCGGGGGAGGTCCAGGGGCAGCAGGACACAGGGGGCCCAGGCCACCTCGGGATCTATGCCCACCCGGCACCGCTCGCCTGAGCACACTCCCTGCAGAGCTGTCTGGGAGATGCTGAAATTGCAGAACAGACCCCAGGGTGTAGTGATCTAGAGGGAACTGAAGGTGCGGACAGACAGGCACTCCCAGGCGGGGGACAGCCTCCTCATTTCAGGAGCAATAAACCAGTGGTTCAACTCCCAGTGCTGGTTCAGAAGTCCAGACCGACCCGACACACATTCTTGAGTCGTGTTTACAGGACTTAAACCCCTCTGAGCACCCACACCCAGGATCAACGGGAGCAGGGGCCTTGAGGACACCAGCCCCCGTCGGCCTCGTGACCTCACTCAGCTCGGACCTGGGCTCTGCCAGCTCAGGACAGCTTTGCCCCAATTTCCGTGAATGCTGCATTGCGCGAGCCCCTCCATCAACATGCATCTGCCCTCTGCCTACAACTTCCCAAGATTGTTTTTGGAGGGATGCAGCTTTGGGAAACATCCCTGGTGTTTTTTTTTCTACTTGTTGCAAGGAAAACCCTTCCTTATCCCACTCTGGCTGGTGGTGTCCTTTGGCTCGATGGCCCAAGAAGCAAAGCCAGTTTAAGTGACACCTCAGGACACTGGCACCTGGGCCGGCCCTCTGAGCAGGTGCATTTGAGGGGACACAGGACCAGGGGGCGGTGTCATGACATGGCTTGTGGCCGGAGGTCTGCATGTGCAAATGTCCCATCCTGGGGTCCGGGCAGGGACGCGGGCTTCCACGTCAGCAGCAGGCTCTCTGTCCACAAGGGCCTGATATCCCCCACGTGCTCTGACCTCGCCCTCACACAGGTCCTGAGGGTGTTTACGGATGGAGGCCGAGGCTCGGAGACGGGAGCGGGGGCGAGCCTGGGGCAGGGAGCGGGACGTGGGGTCTCCCAGCAATCCCGGTCAGTCCCCTACCTCCGCACGCCAGGGCCCACCGCTCAGGGCCAGGCTAGAAGCGGGTGACATGCATGTAATAATACATAAAATCGCTCACAAGTCTGCAACATGTCTGCTCTGTGTTCTGTACGGGACAGACCTCTGGGCCCCCAGGAATGGTCTCCTTAGTTTGCACGTGGGAGCCCAGCCTGGATGGGGGTGGTTTGTCCAGTTTCTCAGGTTGGGGAGGTTCCAGAAGTTCAGAGCAGAGACAAGACCTGCCCTGCCCCCGATGAGGCCAGAGCAGGTGGACTGTGAGTGCTGGTGTGGGCAGGCCGAGGGGCTGGGGCATGGGGGCGGTCACGTCCTGGGCTCTCATTTGGGACCAGCGTGGCCTCCCAGCGGCCCTGGGAAGCTGGTGGGACGCAGTAGCTCTTTTCTAAGTAGCCCTAGAACTGAGGCTCTGGGCCCAAGTCTCACCCAGGGGTTGGGGGACATTCAGCGGGGCTCTGAGGCTCGGGATGGGCTGGCCTATCCACTGCTGGGATCTGGGCAGAAAAGGAAGTCATCTGCCGGCCCCTCCCATTTCCTGACGAGTCCCCCCAGAGCAGTGAGGTCCCTCGGGGGCTTGGATCCAGTCCCTGAACGTGGCCGACCACAGGGCAGCCCTCGTGTCTCGGCCTCGCTGCCCCCGTGCCGAACGGGGATTGCTAACTGCCTTTGCGTGCATGTCCGCGGGGCTGCGGGCCCACGTGGGGTCGCTCCCCGCCCGGCCTCGCTGCGTTCGGCTCTCGCCTGGGGGAGTCCTTGGGGGCACAGGGTGAAGGCTTCGCTGGGCGCCCAGCCGGTGCACGGACGCGGCGGTTCTGGGCCGGCCCCCAGCCTGTGACACGGGCTGCACCTGCCCTTCGAGTTCTCACCTGGCAGGGACCCGGGGCTCGCGGTGACCCACCGGGCCCCTCGAGGCTTGGCCAGAGCTGGGGGTGGGCAGGTGAGCAGCGGTTGGAGCAGGACAGCAAGAGGACAGGAGGAAAAGGAGAGTGAGGGTCGCCGCCACCCGCCGCCGCCGCGACTCACAGACGGCGCCTCGAGGGCGCGCAGCCGCCCAGGGCCCTGGCCCCCATCAGCCCTGGACCCAGGGGGGGGCCCGGGGCCGAGTTTCCTGGCCTCTCCGGGCCCCGGCTGGCGTGACGGCAGGGCCGCGCTGGGGCACTGGGGGTGGAAGGGCGGCCTTGACCTAAGGCCGGTGGCCAGCTTTCCCCATGCTGTGCCAGCCCGCGTGCGCCCGACGGGGTTCGCCCTCTCTCCACGGCAGGGCGGGGTCCCGGCAGGGAAGGGCTGAGGGTCTCGGCCTCTCTCTGTGTCCTCCCGCCCACCCCCCGCCCCTTCTGAGATGGGAAAGGTGGGGAAGCCCCGTGCTTGGGGTTAGAGCCGCGTGCACCCTCGAGATGCCGCCCCACCCCAAGAGCTCGCGGGCAGAGGGGCAGACAGCGGGGCTGGGGCCGCTCAGCCCTCCCCGCCCCTGTGCAGAGGGCCAGCTGGTTCCTGGGGAGCCCGCATCATCCCTGCCCCCCGCCCCGACTCGGGTCGCAGCCTCGGCAACCACCTGGACCCCGAGCCCGGCTTCCCTCCCAGCCTGGAAGGCCCCGGGGGCCCGTCGGGAAGAGGAGGTGCCTGCCCACCTGGCGGGGATGGCGCTGATGGGCTTCCTGTAGATGGTGATGAGCTTGTCCAGGACGACGACGGCGGTGGTGAAGACGCGGTAGGAGTGCAGAAACGTGTTGAGGAAGTCGATGCTCAGGAAGCGCAGGTCCGTCAGCCTCTCGAGCAGCCGCCCCACACTGGCGTAGCGGATCTGCAGCACTTTGCAGGAGTTCATGGTCTTGCTAAAGCGAATGTCCACGTCATCGCAGTACAAGGAGGCGTCGGACCTGCGGAGGGAGGGAGGGCCACGGGGAGACGGGGGTCTGCACCGATGAGCCCGCGGCCGTCTCCCCAGCCGTCGCAGTCTCCCCGACGCGCCGCAGATGGGCGGACAGACGGACGGACGGGCGGGCGGCAGCCGAAGGACTGGCTGGCCTACTCTGGGGACAAGGAAAGTGTGGGAGGGCGACACTGAGCAAGAAGGGGACACTGGGACGCTGGTTCTAGCTCCCAGCAACCGCCCACGTATCCGGCATAAAATGCCTAGAAACTCTGGACAAAACGTAACCAACTTAGAAATAATGTGTTCCTGAGGTCACAAGATAAGAGGATCTGCCCGCAAACGCTCACGGCACCGCTGTTCATAACCGCCCCAAAGTGGGGGCCACCCCGGGGTCCACCCGCTGCTGAGAGAACAGCCTGGCGGGCTGTGTCCGCGCAGGGAGGCTCGCTCGGCGGGGAGAGGGCACCGCGTGCGGGGCAGGGCCCCAGGGCCGCGGGTCTCGAGGACACACCAAGTGAGGGAATCCAGGAGCAAAGTCCGCACGTCGTTCGACTTTGTCTATATGAAACCTCCTGAGCGGCCAAGTCCACCCACACAGAGTCGGGGGCTGGCCGCCAGGGGGTGAGGCACTGACCGCTAGCATGCATTCTTGGGGGCTTCTGGGGGATGACGGAAACATTCTGCAATCAGGCGGCGGTGATGTTTGCCCAACATACTGATGTGCTAAAATCCACTGAACCGCACACTTTAAAATGCTGAGTTTTATGTTACACGAATTCCATCTCGGGAAAAACTAAGCAGGGGCAAAAAAGCTATAAGGGAAATTCCTAGGGGCCAAAACTGAAGAGGAATTTGGAAACCAGCTGATGCTTTATGTGTCTTTGGGGCATCAGCTGCTTATCGATACAGAGCGCCTTGGGTTTCCATAAGGAAAGGCAAGGCCTGGGTTCCGTGGCGGGAAGGGTGTTGGAGTGAGACCCCCACAGAGGGCTGAGGACCTGGGCGGTGGCCTCGAAAAATCTACCCACTGGGGGGGGGGGATGTGAGTGTCCTGGGTTAGCCCAGACTCCGGGGGAAGGGAGGACAGGGCACAGAGCCTCCTGAGAACGTACTATTTGGAGTACAGACAGGTACCACCGTGGTCTGGGAGCCCCAGATGGCATGAAGAGTAGTTCCAGGCCGTGAGCCCCCCAGGGCACCGCACTGCCAGGCTCTGCAAGATCTTCATAGATAAATCCCTCCGGAAAATGAGCTCACAAATCAAAATTACGAGCCGTGCGAGGAATCAAGCCCCATGAGCAATAGTCAGCAGCTGGGAACACATCACCGAGTTATGTCCCCAGGAGTCTAATGCTTTCTGACAACCCTACTACCTCTTAGCTGTGGTTCCTCCCACTGGCAATGCACGCCTGGCTGTCCATCCTTTGGCTCAGGATGAAGCCGGCTTGCCACGGCTGTTGGTGAGGAACCTCCAGGCTGGGTGGGGGGAGGGAGGGGGCTTCCTAGCAGCGCTGTCCCTTCACCTTGCTGGCCTCCACAAGGGAGGTCATACCCCCCTTTAGCTCCCTCTCAGCTCCTATTAAAGTGCGAGGGTGGGTCTTCAGCCAGCAGCAGATCACTGGACCTCGGGTATTTGACTAAAAGTAAGACTTTCAAGGTCGGGCAGGTGTCCTGGGCCTTCCGGACTCTGGCATCGCTGGCCAGAGTGATGTCCGCATGGTGTGGGACCCCAGCAGGAGCAACTCGGCTCTTCTGGGACTGTCGCGTTGGATCTGGTGGCGAGACGTCTCCGTCCTCTCGACAAGTGTCAGGTGCAGCCAACCTGGTCATGCGGGTCTGAGGACCTGACGGCCAGGCCCACACAGCCGCACCCCTCTCAGCCGGGAGCTTGAGATCAGGGGCCCCTCCTGGTGTGGTGGGAGCTGGAAGCCCCGACCACGGTCCCGCCACGCAGCGCCCCCCGGCGGTGAGACCACGGGAGGGGCGTTCCTTCTTGCCCTGTGCAGCTGTGGTCTCTCACATCTGGACGTTGTGAGTGTCTGAGTCATGGTTTCCGTGTGGGCACGGCCCCCGAGCACCCTGGGGTCAAAGGCAGGGCCCACTCCCCGTGGGTCCACGGCAGGTGCACGTAACCTCCCGGGGCCCCGTTTTAGGTCTCTTTCCTTGTGCCGCGTTTGCCCTTCATCCTCACACACGGGCAGCCGCACCTTCCTACGCATGGGGCGGCTGCCCGCAATCTCTCGTGTGTCCTGGTGGGACACGAGTCAAAGGTACACAACGAGCACATAAAGGATAAGCCTGGGAATCTGATCAAAATGAGCTTCTGGTGGGGGAATCTGAAGACATACGAGTTCAGCTCACACAGGTCGTCACGGCAAGAGCAGGTGTCGCATCTGGGGTGTGGTGAAGGACGCTGGGCTGGGGGTTGGAATACACGGTTCTGAAGGAGACCTGTCGCCCCGAGTCCCCTTTGTCACTAGACACGGTACCTCCCCTCCCTTTCCTGATCTGTAACTTGGAAACAGTAAGGTCTACTTCACAAGGCTTTTGCAAACGTTTAATAAAGGGAGCGGCCTCCGGGACCCAGGGCGGGGTGCGGCGCTCCGTTCGGGTCATAAATGGGGTCACGGGCTCTCCTGGGGGGTCTCCCGTCCAGCAGCGCAGATACTGCCCTTTCAAGGCCTTCTCCAGACACATCCCTGGGGTTCGAAATGTTCCCGGGAAAAGAGACCACCTTTACCGAGTGCCTCCACTGGGCACGGCAGCGGGGGGTCCTTCCAGGATGAGGAAAGAGCCACAGAGCCCGTGAAGACACCAGAGTTTAGAGGGACCTTCCTGGAGAAACAGATGGAATGACGCCTTCCAGGGAAACTCTGCTGCCAGACACAGACGCTTTACAAAACCTCGGCTTCGTGGGTCCACTGTGACTCAGGAAAACACACGATCACCTGAGATCACAAAGGTTTCCTGGAAGCCGAAGATGAGGTTGTGGAGCCAGCGGCCGGGGCGCTAGGAAGCCAGTGGAGGGACGCCCCGAGCGCGCCCGAGAAAGTGTCCCGGCTCCGGCAGCGGCAAAAGGGCTAAGCTGGAGAGGGAAAGCGTAAGCCCCACGGGGGATGCAGAGAGGGACCGGCGCCGGGAGTCTTCAGAGGAAGGAGAGACGGGCACACAAGAAGGAGAGAGAGAAGACACGTCTGCAGGCGGGAGCGCTCCCGGTCGGCGGCACCCCACCCGCGGCTGAGGGGCTCCCGCACGGTGGTCCGTCCCAGGAGCGTGGACACCTCCCACGCCTGGGGCCCAGCGTGTCCGGCCCGGGCCTGGCATCCTCACGGGGACCGCCGTCCCCTCTGCAGCCGTTTGCTTCTAGCACCTTCCCTTTGGGCTCCTGCGTCTGGATGGGTAGAGAAGGCTGGACACACCGCCCGTCCCCCTTCTCTTCTGTTCCGAACTGGCTGCCCCTGTCGGTCACAGGGCCTCTGTCCACTGTGCAAAGCCAGCCTGGACTTCAGCGTCCGTCAGTAAAACGGGAGAGTGAGCTACAAGACGCCCGTTCCGACGACTCCCTCACGGGCCGGCCTGAAAGACCGCCGTGGTCCGTTAGCGGCGTCTGCGGCGGCCCCACGGGAGCGATGCCAGCCTTCCCGACTGTGGGCTCAGCCCGACTTCTCTCTTCACTCTCGTCCACACTTCGGGACGAAAGCTCCAAGCGCGTCCCCCCTCCGGGCGTCGCTGAGCGGCTGGGCTTCTGGGAGGGCGCTCCACCTCGAGGCCCCCATCCCTGAGGCCACATGCAGGGGCTGCTGTGGCACCCCGGAACCTGGGGCAGGTGCCGTGAGAGTCCTCAGCTCTCCGCGTGGCTGTGGATCTTCCTCTCGCCCATGTCCACCCGCGTCCACGCCCCAGAGCGCCCGGACACGCTGCGTCAGGAGGCAGCAGGGGACGTCATGCCTCTTCGTGCCGCAAACGCCGAACCAGGCTGCTCCTGACTCCGTCTGATGTGGGGGCTGTGCCAGGAGCTCAGAGACTTGTGGGCACAGATGCAGGGAGTGTCCCCTGCCCACTGGCCGTCCGGCCAGGCCCTCGGTGCCCACGCGCTCCCCGTCGGAGTGGCAACTGGGGGCGCCTGTCGCCGCCCGGTGGAGACCCCAACTCTTCGCCCATCACGTTAGCCTTCTCTGAGTCCTGCCCTCCCTCCGCCCCATCGTTCATGAGGCAGATCGTGTAAGAAATCCCAACAGCGCAGTGAAAAATGAGAGCTGCAAGCGGGACAGACGAGGGAGCCAGCCGCGTGTGGGACACGCAGACACACACGAACTCAGCCGAGCGTAGGAGTGCTGAACGCGCACAGGAGGGGAGGACCCAGTGGGCACCAAATATTCAGGACACGATGTACTCCAGGCATGGGAGACACTCAGTGCTCATGCCTGGCGACACCCCATCTGGCCCTTCACCCTCTGCCCCGGGCTGGGCACACCTGCGGGGACAGCTCAGCGGAGACACAGATGTGCGGCCGGCCAGGGGCTTTCCGCTGGTGGACCGCCCGGTCGGGCCTGCACGCTGGTCCTTGCAGCCCATGTCGGGCGGGGAAGGCTGCTGGGGCCAGAGATGTTGTGTGACCCAGTGTGACACCCACTCCAGCCATGTCCGTCCCCGGCTGCTCATGCACGTTCAGAACCGACGCACTGGACTGTGACAGGCCCCTTCCTGTCCCGGGACCTTCGTCTGGGCAAGTGGGTCTGGCAGTGAACATGGAGGCCGGTCACCTTCCCCACGACACTCCGCTCTGCCAGTCCTGCCGCCCCACGGGGCTAATCATCATCCCCAACGCACACACGCTATCCTGCCTCTGCACCTTCGTTCACGCTGTTCCCTCCTCCCAGAGCGCCCTTCCCCTCCATCATCCTCACGGCCGGCTCTGGTGTCCCCTCTGGGGGGCGTCCTCCCCGGTGTGCCAGGGGCCGTCGCCACCCGCCTCTGGACCCTCTCAGACTCACGAGCGTTTCTCCCACTAACGGGTGACTGAGGCCAGAGACCACGCCTGACCTCCGCCGCCCCACGGCTCTCACAGACCGAGGACGCCGCGCACGGCCACGCCTGCCCGAGCCTGAGGGCGGAGCGTCGGCGCGGTCACTCTGGCTTGGACGCTCCCTCCTCTCTGTCACTGTCATAGCTTAAAACTTGCTATTTTTCCTTTACAGGTGACACCTGGCTCACTTTTGCCGCCTGGATGATGCGTCCTCGGCAGAAAACGAGCGCGCGCCTGCCACACGTTTAATTCTATGTGTGACTGTAATTTTCTCATTAAAGCAAATCCGCCCTGTGCCTCGCTGCATCTGAGACAGACGGGGCGCCCGCAGCTGCTCCCGGGCCGCCGAGAGAATTCAGCCAGGTTCGCGCTCCCGCCCCCCGGGCTCAGGCCAGCACAGTCCGCTCGGGAACAGGGCCTCAGGATGCGCCTCAGAGCGCAAGGATGTGCCTCGCTAGGCTGGACTTCACTCAGGGAGCTTCCCCGAGTGGGTTGTGTAGCCATTGCCCCTAACCTTAGAAATGACACTAAGTCTTTGTACGTGAAACCAAAAACACAGACGCGACCTCCTCCTGCCCCCAAACAAGAAAACAAATCCAGGAGGTTGGTAGGGAGGTGTCATCCCCTTCCACTTACCAGTGAGAAGCCCAAGCTCAGAAGCACTGAGTGACTTGTCCGCCATCACACACAGAGCGGGAACCGGGGACCTGCACGTTCCGGCCTTCCTTCCGATCCCGCCAGCCCCGGCTCTAAACAGTGCGCTCACGGAACGGAACCATACCCCGCTAGTATGCACGACCCTGACTCGGCTTCACCAGCCCTGTCCTCACCGAGGCTCCAGGTGCAGCGCCTTCACGCACCGGGCTGAAGAATGCACCCGCCGCTCCCCTGAGCGCACCCTTGAAGCCTCAGAGACAGTGGGGTACCCAGATGTCCGCGGTTATGCGGCCCGGGTGAGATTTGGGTCCCAGCACCGCCCAGGCCGGCGTCAGCAGGCTCCGAGGTCAGAGGTTTGGACAGAGACCCGCGGGCCGCCCGGATGGGGCAGGAAGGAGGGCGAGGCGGGGGCAGGACAGTGCATTGCTGGGGGGAGGGCAGCAGGTCTGGCGCAGCCTGGGAGCTCCGACCGCGTGCTCAGTGGATGCCTCCCGCCGTCCCGCCCCTGTGGTCACTCAAACACCGTGGCCCTGGAGCCTGTGTTTCTGAAATGTTCTCATTTTATAAATACGAAAAAAGAGTTATTAAAATAAATGCATTAAGCTTCACTCCTGTTACCGTTTAAAGAGTCAAACACAAAAATCCACTTCTTAAAAACAACAAAAATGAAGCCGGAGCCCCCATTCGAATACATGTTAACTTAAGCACACAGATGCCCCCAAGCCCCGAAGACGGAGCCCGGCACGTCCGGAAGACCTGCAGCCGGTGGTCCAATGCCCCACTGTGGCCGTGGCTGCAGCCGTCCCCGGGTCGCGAGCCCGCCGGCTGTAGGACACTACTTACTTGATCATCTGCGGCACGGTGACCTTGGAGTTCTCCTCAAATGCGTTCATCATCAGCCCGTTGCACCGGATGTTATCCACACACTGGAAGCAGAGAGAGGGGGGCCCCAGGGTCAGAGCCACGGCCGCCACCCCGGGCCCCACAGCAGCGGTACCCAGGGAGTGGCTTGCGGGCCCAGCCTGATGCGGGTCCTCACGCCAGAGCATCATCCTGGCAAGGGAGGGTCAGCCGCAGCCTCCCTACACTCCCACCGGGGGCCACCTCTGACTCAAGCAACATTTTGGGGACTTGCCTGATCTCCCTGGGTGTGGATGACGCCTACCTAGCTGGGTTGTCGGCAAACGGGGGCACCCGACCTGGCCCCTCTGTCGCTGACCTCTGGGGCCTGGTGGGAGGGGCCAGGTCAGGTCCACCGTGGCCGGCACCAGCCTCCATGACCCTGTGCAGACGTGCACGCGTCCTGCACCCTGGTCCTCTGTCAGCCACGGCCACACTCTGGGACTGCAGACGGTTTCCACGTCAGAAACCCCGTCTGGGAGAGACCAGGCTGCTGAGACCGGGGGCACAGAGGCCCATGTTTCCCTCAGCCTCGGAGGAACTCAAAATCCACATTCTGCTTTGAATCAGAAGTGCCCCCCAACGAGCAGTGCGGCTCTGGGGGGTCCTTTCCTCACCCCTGCCCCCAGCCTTCCCCTCTTAGCTGTGGGCGCATCTCACAATGTCCTGGTTTTGAGGGCTCGCGTTTCAGGGGGGCTGGCAGAGGGGCTGGCCCAGCGGGGGCGGCCCACCGGTCTGCTGGGGACCAGCGTCCCGTCAAGGCTGGCCCCCTTCCCCTGTTCTTTGGGACGGGGTCGGGCATAGGGAGGTTCCTGTTCCTTGCACTTCCCAGCCCAGCATCTTCAACCCGCGGCTCTGAGGCTCCCTTCAGCTCTGGTTCTATCCGCAGCAGTGGAAAGCTGGGTGCCTGGCCATGGACAGGGCTCCCCGGAGGCATGGGGACCCCGGGAGAGGGCTGGGGGCCCCCACTGCCATCAGCACGGTTTCCTAGTTCTGGTTTTCTCTGGGGCACGCTGGGAGCTTTGAGAACAGGTGCCAGCACGTAGGAAGAGCGGATACTTGCAATGCGCCCCCGTGACCTGTGTCGCCCTTCTGGCATTTCCAGATGGGCAGGCAGGCCAGAGGGTCGGGGGAGCGGGCGGTCTGGGCAGCCCAGAAGTGGGGCATAAAAACCAGGGCTGGGGGGCCCACCATTAGAACCTTGCCCCCAGGGCCCCAAGAGCTCAGGCATGACGGGACCGCATGCTTCCAGGAACAGGTGATCTTGCTAACCTGGCTGATGTCACTGGTCCACGCCGCCTTCTCCTGTCTGGACGAGGCCACAAGGATGACCGTGAAAGGCGGGGAATCCTTGGGCTCCACCCCGATCTTAAAATCCAAGTGGTCTATGTCTTGGTTGGATCCTTTGGCTTCCAATTGCAAAACATGGAGTTAGCAGAATGGGTGGGGCCCTTTGTGAGCTGGGAAACATCGTAACGATGCCCTCCCTGGGTCACCCACGGGTGAAGGCCCCGCAGTGGCCCCTCGCTCCCTATAGAACATCTCCTCCCCCTGTCGGTGAGGAATCCCCACCCCAGAGATGAGCAAAGGTGTGGAGTGAGGAGTCGCTCACGAGCACACGGGGCCGTCCTAGCAGCAGAGCCGGGGAGCCTGGGTTGGGGGGTTGGCCTCTGGGCAACGGGCAGCTGAGGTCCGGAGTGAGGACATCCTGGAGACACGGCAGCCGCGGCGAAGCCAGGACTAGAACCGGCCTCACCGCCAGACCCGCCCGCTACCCCCAGGTGATACGGGGCCAGAAGGGGAACTTCAGATCGTCACTGTTTATGGGCCGGACTGGACATTCAGCTCAGTGTCGAGTCCCCCAAAGCCAAAGTACATTCTAGGTATTTTTGTTACTATTCTCAACCTGAGAACTTCCTTGTACTCTCGGGAGACTAAGAGCACAGTTTATGGTGCCTTCCAGGGTGCCTGCATTAACTGGGGGTACAGCGAGTGGGGCGGAATGGTGTGGGGCCGTCGCTGGCGATGTGACCCTGGAGGGCCCTGCCCGCCCCCCTCCCCAGGCTGCAGACCATATCCTGTACAGAGTGGATGTGACGTGTCTGGGGCCCCACCCTTCCAGTTCTGACACTCAAGAGTTTTCGGGTTCTGTGCTGGGCACGGGAGCCCCTGCTCTGGTGGCGGCTCAGGGTTGGGACGGTGCTGGTTGCTCTGGGAAGCAGGGTGCCCGTGAGTGAGCGTGCCGAGTGGGGAACACGTGGGCCCTGGAGGGAAAAGGCCTTTGGGGCCTGACCCTTCTGCTTGAGTCTGGGCTTCTCCGTGGCCCAGCTGCGGCCAAGATTAGAGCAGGTCAGGCCTCAAAGAGCACTCCGGGTGGACCACGTTACACGTTTGTCCTGCCCTTGGGGGCAGCGTGGCTCGGCTCCCAGGGCAGGGGCAGGAAAGGCTGACCAGGGACATGTGTGTGAGTGTGGATGGGGCCCCGGACCCCTGCAGACCCTCCGATCTGAGGTGGTTCAGATGCAGCCCCGCCCTGAGGCACCTCAGTCTGGGGAAGGGCAAAGATGCAGAGTCCTATTGGGATCCCTCCAAGGGGAGGGCGGGGGGGGGGGCAGAGCAGAAGGGACGTGAGGACCAACGTCAGCCCAATCAAGCAACAGTAGTGACCCCATCCCCCAGTGACGCCCGGGGAGGGAAATCCCACAGAACCCCTCCACACCAGCTCGCCTGCCCCCCACCTCCCCACTGAGTCCCCCTCCCTGCCGGGGCTGCCACCCCATGTGTCCCCATTCCTCCCACTGGAGGACAGAGCCCTGCCTCCCCAGCCCCTTCTGCAGGATCCAGGGGAGCCACTGTGCATGGGACCCATGGACACATGAATGATGGGTGCTCATGGGGGTGCTGGGACCCCAAACCGAATGGGACCAACAAGTCCAGGGGCCCGAGGAGCGTGGAGGGAAACGGGATGGTGGACAGGGGCTCCCACCTGCTGGCTGGCCTCACTGGGTCCAGGACAGGGACCACCACACCTCAGAGCCCTCCATGCCCCCCAGCAAGACTGGGTCGGGGCGAGCAGGTGTCTGCTGAGCGCACACAGACTCATGAGTGGCTCGCACACCTACCGTCTTCCTCTGTGTTCTCTGGGTCCTCCAGCAGGGTGCAGTCGATGAGGGAGATGACCCCATTCTGAAAGACAGCAGGGACCACCTCCAGTCAGCGGGGACACGCAGGGCAGAGCCCCGCGTACTGGGGCGGGACATGGCCCTACAGGTGTGCACGCGCATATGCACACGTGTGTGTGCGCGTGTCGTGTTCCCGTGGGTATTGTGGTTTTCGTGTCAAAGAACATTATCCTCACGTAAGAAGCCCCATGAGGTGGTTCAGGTGGGACCGTCTCACACGGGCTTCCCCCGAATTGGGTCAAGGGACACCTAGGGCCGGGGGTACAGTCCGCACAGTCTGAACCCCTCAAGTCTGGGCCGCACCTTCACATCACTAGCTGGGACACAGGGCAGTTGGCCGGATGCGTCACAGGTCCCATTCTGATTTTACAGGTGAGGAGAGGAGATCCGGGGGAGGGGTCTGACCCGAGGCCACCTGGCCCCTAGTGCTGGGGTTGGGGAGAGCCTCGAGGCCTGACCTTGCCCAGGTCACTTGCTGGCTGCCTGTTCTGAGGGACACCTGGGAAAGGGCCTCCCGTCCTTGAGTGTGGGAGCCTCTCCTGGGTGTGAGACACCCCGATACCGTGAGGAACGGGGCCACGACCATGGAGGTGAAAGATGTCAATACCCCACCCCCTCAAAAGGTGAGGTCAGCTTTCCTCCCCCTCGAGTGCGGGCCGGGCTGGTGGCCTGCTCCTCGGATGGCGTGCACCTCCTGCTTGCTCTCTGGGTGTCCCTCGGACCACGTGTTCTGGGGAAGCCGACTGCCACGTGGGGAGGCCACCCCGGGAAGGCTGGTGCAGCCCCTGGGCCTGGACGCGACCCCGTGAGACCCTCACCCCCTTGCCACCCAGCCGAGGGGCTCCAGGCCGCCCGGCTCGGCATCTGAGAGACCATGAATGCCATGAGCCACTCCGTCTGGGGGTAACTTGTCACCCGGCGCAGACACGTAACGTGAGAACTGAGGGCGACAGACACCCGGCCACGGTGTTTGCAGGGCAGGCTGCCCCCAGCACGCAGAGGCGGCCCCGAATCCTGGGTTCTCGCTTTGCTCTTTGGTGGCCTCGGTGAGCCCCTAGGCTTGACCGTTGGCAAAGCCCCACGTTGTTCTGACAGCCTCTTTCTCCCGAAGATCCTGCCGAAGTTTTAGATCTTGGGACATGTCTCAGAGCATCGGGAAGCAGCCCGACTTCAGCCTGTGGTTTCGGAGCACAGACCCCGGAGCCAGACGGCCGGCCTGGGTTCAAAGCCCCGCTCTGCCATGGGCGGGCTTCTAGACGTCTCTTACAGATGGGGAAGGAACAGCATCTGCTTCAGCGGGTTGTCTCGGAGGCGGATGCACATGAAGTGGGCGGGTAGCGCCTGGCCCACGGTGATCACGCGAGTGCTCGTGGCCACGATTGTTGTAGTTCATTGCGGCAACAAGAGTGACGATCTGCACCCGCCGAGCTCATACTGCATCCCAAGCGCTGGGCAACGCGCTTTGCACCCACTCCCTTAATCCTCACAGCACCCGCTGAAGCGGGTGTTTTCACTCCCGTGTGCAGATAGGTAAACCAAGGCTTGGTGGGCGCCCTCTAGTTGGGGGCCCTGCGGGCACTGGAACAGCACTCCCGTGTTCTTTATGCTGAGGGACTTTAGAAGCTCAAACACCCCCGCCCCAGCCAAAACAAGAGAAAACTCACAAACAGAAAAACACATGTTTTCAGACTCCATCTCCGCGTGACCTGCCCCGCTGACTGCTGCCTCCTGGGGGACATCCTCCTGCCGGCACAGAGCCTCGCGGCAGAAACCCCAGAGCTAATAAATATGGAAAGCGCTCCCTGCTCTCCTAGCAGCTCATGGGAGGTTACGGGCCAGGCATCCCGGGTCTGGAAGGACGGTTTGCCTGACGCTCCAGCACCTTCCAGCCCTTTCTCGGCCACAGTGTGTTCAGACGCCAGGTCCGCCAAAGCAAGCTTCCAGGGGAGCCCTGCTCAGAGGCCCACGTGCTTCGCCTCAATTGGGCACTAGCCGCCCGCCACCTGCGCCCCCGCAGAACCCCTGCTGGGGATTGTTACCCCTATTCTGCAGATGAGGAACGGAGGCAGAGACGGGAGCCAGAGCCTGAACTCAGAGCCACGAGATAAGCAAGCTGGGGAGTAGGAGATCCTGCCCGGGGTGCACCTTTCCCCGTGCCGTTTGAGCAGCCATGAGGACAGGAAGGCGGTGCTCCAGGGGAGAAAGAAGCAGACGGCAAGAGCCAAGTCCCTGTGGTCTGGGAAGGAGCGGGAGGGGCTTGAGGTGCTGATTCCCCTCACTTTTTCCCTTTTTGACCATTTCATCGTGGGGGAGGGGAAGCTGGAGTGCACTGCCCCCACCACAAATGATGTAGTCGAGTTTCCCGCACTTGGGGAAATTGCAGGGCTGCCCTCATCCGGAGGCCACGGAGAAGCCTCACCCTTGGAAACCAGCTTCGTGACCACGGCATCTCCCCTGACAGGTAAGTGTTCCCCTTTCCTTGTGGGATGGGCCAGTTAGCTGAGTGTGTGGGGTCTTGTGTGGGGCTGCGAGGTGCTAAGGGCTGGCCCTGTGTGTGAGCAGCACTGTGGCCTGCTCGCGGGGCCTGGACGTGCCCGGTGCTCTTGCACCGGCACCGTCGGGCCGGAGGAGGCCCCGGGAGCGGCGGTGTGAGCGCCTCCTGAGGGAGGGAAAGGGTCCGGGGCTGTCTCACTCAGCCCCTCCCACACTGCGGCGCATGCACACACACACATGCAGGTGCACCCTCAGGGCTTCGCCTGGACCCCCTGGCTCTTCTGCCCTGGCACCAGCAGCTGGGCTCTCTTGGGGTCCCGACACCACTCACCCTCCCATTTCCCATGATGTCTCCAGAAAACCCGACCGCGGCCGGCTCCCTCCAGCCTGCCCGTTGGACCAGTGCACACGTGTGCACTCCGTGTCTCTGCCCACGGGTCCCGGGCAGGGCAGTGCCCACCACGAGCCCCCCGCAAGCCCAGCCCCAGTGGCCCCTACCTTGGTCAGGTGGAGCTTCCCACCAGAGCCCCTGGTGCAGATAATCAGATGCTTGGAGAACAGGAAACACTGCCGCTCGCCCTCCTTCTTCAGGGAGAGAGACCCCAGGCGGCCCCTGGTGATCTTGCCCTTCTCAGACATGGGCACCTGGATAAGGGAGCCTGTGGGTGGGGGGCAGACCCTGAGCCCAGTCCCAGAGCTGCATTCGCCTCTGGCCAGCTCGGCAGCTGTGGGGGTCCCAACACCGGGACCAGGGAGTCCCCGTTCCTGGCAGCAGGTACGCACCCCAGACGATGCTCCCTCGGCCCCGTCAGCCCGATGGCAGAGGCATGGTGAGCAGGGCCCCCAGCCCCCCGGCCAGGGCCTTGGCAAGCGGAGGAACCTTCCAGGGCTGGGCCTGTGTGGCAGGCACGCAGGGCTGGGCTGGGGTCTGGGGGCAGCACACGTGGGGAGCTGGCCCGGACAGATCAGCACCGCACACAGCTCCGCGGCCCGCGCCGGGCAGACATCAATCAGGAGCGGCACGTGGGCTGCAGAGCCAGACTGAGCCCCGTCCCGGGCACTGGGTGCTGGGAGCAGTTGCTGGGGATGAAGCCCCCTGCGCACCTGCGCTGGCCCCCGCCCCTGGCACACACAGCACGCGGTCCTTCCCACCTACTCAAGGCCTTCCTGGTCAGGCACGGGCATGCCCCCTCCTGAGCCGCCTAGCTCCAGCTCATTACTGTGCTCCTCAGGGCCACTCCCGGCCCGGAAAGCCCTTCCTTTCCAGCCCGAGAACTTCTACTTGTCCTCCCCCTGCCCACTCTGCCCCGTGTCCATCCCTGCCCAGACCCCTGCCCTGTGTCTGTCTCCTCACGGCCCCCTGACCTCGCAGGTCTAGTCTCGGGCTGTCCCTGGAGCCCAGCGTTGGCCCGGCATGAACGAGGCAGGTGCCAGTGCTGGATGCATGACTAACGAGTGAGAAAGGGCTTTCTGGATCCCCCTGCCCAGTCCCAGGTCCAGCACAGCCCTATGGGAGGGGAGGAAACACTCTGCTTGGGGAACAGAGCAGATTCCTGGTCTGTGGGGACGCTGCCCGTGCCAGGAGGGGCCATTATTTGGGCAATTCCAGCGTGGGCCCGGTGCGGCTCAGGCAAGCAGGCCAAGGCTGGGGAAGGGTACGGGGGCCACGCGGGGGCTCAGAGCAAAACTCCAAGTTGAGGACGGGTGCAGAGCCAGCTGCCCAGGCTGGAGGAGGGGCTGGCAAACCTTCCTTCTGGTCAGAGAGTCCCAGGGCTGGACAGAAGGACCTCGGGGCATGTAAGCAGAAGCCTCTGCCCATAGAATGTGGGCTCTGGGCGGGGCACCCCTCAGGAGCAATGAAGCTCCAGCCGCCCCACGTGGGCAGCCAGCCCCCTCCCCGGCCCTCACTGGGGCTGTGCCTCCCAGATGCGGCTCCCCAAGAGGCCAAGGATGACAAGCAGAGGACGGAGGGACTGAGCCACACCGCCTGTGCCGGAAACGCTTGTGATCCAGGGCCGATCTGTATCTGTCTTCGTCCTTGGCTCCCTAAAACACGTGTCAGCCTTTACTAGGACGCAGGACAGACACACCAGACCACCTGGGAAGAAGCGCGTCTACCTCCGGAGGGAAGGAAGCCGTGGAGGCCCACAGGACCCATAAGTGGATGTGACGCCCACAGCCCTCCAGCGGCCCCAGGACACTCTGCAGGCATGCCACTTGGAGGGGCCCGGGGGCCACCTGGGACCAGGGGATGGGGGGGCCTACCTTGTCTCACAAAAGTCTGGCTGGTATCCAGCAGGATCTCGCAGCCTTCAATAATCATGCGCTCAATGGCGAGGTTTTTCCGGATGTTCTCCGTCTCACTCACTTCGTCATGCATTATCCTGCGGGGATGGGAAATAAGTCAGCGGCAGGAGGAGGGGACGCCAGGCCTCTGGCCAGACCCAGTGGGAAAGCCTGGCCCCGAGGACTCTCGGAGCCTGCAGTCATGAAAGGGAAGAGGGCACGCATTTATTACGTGCCCACTGTGTGCTGGACACTCTACAGTCAGGCATGGTCTCCTTTTCTTCTTCTGGAAACCCAAGGAGGCAGGCGTTCTTATTTCAAGGAAAAGGAAATGGAGGTTAACAGTGAGGAAGCAGGTCTGTCTGATCTAAGACTCTGAGCCATGTGCAACCAAATGGCAGAATGCGGAGGACGATGGGAGCTCAGCAAACATCCTTTGTTCATTACTTTGTCCCTTATCCCACTACTGGCCTTATTTCTATCCACAGAACAAACCAAGTTCATCCCTGCCTCAGGGCCTTTGCACTTGCTGTTTCTGTCCCTTGAATGCTCTTTATACGATTGTTTCCTTAACTTTGTTTGGGTTCTGGAATGGCTGAGTTTTGGAGGGCTGGCAAGCCAGCTGGCTCAGGGAGAGACTGACTTCAGTTTACGTCCACAGGCTCCGGGACATCCGGGAGGAAAGAAGGACACAGCATGTCCCTCATCTGAGCCGACGGACAACTCTGTCCTGTTCTGACTGCCGCAACGCCCCTCCTCTCCAGCAGGTGGCTCCATCTACCTGCTTTTAAATAAGGGTTTGGCGGCGGCGGCGGCGGCGGCGGCGAGGGTGTTGGGGAAGAGGCGCGTGGATTTCCAGGGGTCGGGAAGGTGATGAGTAATTTTCCGGGGAGTCTGTTAGAAGTGCCCCGCCTGCTCCAGTGCGCTGGGGGATTCAGCACGTTGAGCAAGTACTGGAGGCCTCTGGCCCTTAGTCCCCCCACCTGGAGGCTTTCACGGGGCGGGGTGGGGGGGCGGGATAATGGGTTTCAGGCCCTGGCCTGACGTCTGCGCATGGCAGGTGCTTTGGTGAAGAGCGGTGGTCAGCGCGTTGGAACTCGGAAAGCATTTCTATCTGTTGTTTCTTCTGGCTGTGGGGCCCGGGCTTCGGCACGCGGCCTCGGCACACCAGCGATGCTGTCCTCGGAGCCCAGGCCCCAGCCCGCCTCCGGGAGGGACGTGGGACCCAGGAAGCAGCCACGGCTTGGGAAGCAGCTGCAGGAGATGGGAACCACCCCTTCTGTGGAGGGTGAGGAGTCTCCCCAGCAGGGCTGTCCTTCGTGAAAATAAGGGCGTGGTTCCAAAGCAGCGAACCTGGTTTTGCCGTGAGACACGCGTGGACTGCCGCTGCTCAGACCATGCCAGCCCCGGGCTGGGGTCTGCGTCGGGGTCCCCAGGCTGCACACGCAGCTCATGCACACGGGGGTGCTGGAAGGGCTGCCTGGTTCTCACGGAGCCCGGCGGGTGGGGGTCAGGAGGACGGAGGGGCGGGCCCAGAGGCGGGTGGGAGCCAGTCCCAGGGAGGTGGGTGTTTGTGAGCACAGCCAGGGGGCCTGGAAGCTCTCCCGGGGCCCCCGGGCAGGGCGAGGGGGAAGGGCTGATGTCGCGGAGACGGGAAAGCCCCCTTCCGTGCACTAGGGTGGCCCTCTGGGGCAGGTGCAGGTGATGGGGTGGGATGCCCGGAACCCTGGGGGATGGGAATCGGGGTCTCAGGCCAAGCACCTTGGCCCACATCTGCCCCCTGCACCCCTGTGTGCGTGGGGACAGGGCGCCTCCCTGCCTTACAGGTGCCTCGGGCCTTCTCCTTGGGGAAGAGTGTGCAGGATATGGCTCCCTGGGACTCAAAAGGACAGAGGTTTTGTGAATCTGCAATCACACCCTGCTAACACCCTCGCCCGCCCTGGCCCAGTGGTCCTCCCTCTGCCCAGGGGGGAGCTGTGGCCTGACTGGCTGCCCCGGGTCAGCCTGAGGAAGCCTCTTAGGGCCCCGGGCAGGGCTGCTGTGGGACTCCGCAGCCTGCAGGCTGACCTCCTTCGCAGCTTCCGGCAGCCTGTCTCTGGGCACAGGGCCCCTCCTCACGTCCGGCCCCCACACCGTGGAGCCCCCGGGGTGGTCTCACCAGTCTCGTGACGACCCCTGACCTCCAGACACTAATGTCCTGCTTCCCTCCCACCATCTCTGCCACTGCTGTCCAGCTCCGGTCCACGAAACAGGAAGGACTCCCCTCCAAACCGCCCCTCCTGCACTTTCCTCCACCCTCCTGGCTGCTCAGCCCAGGACCCTGCAACACCCCCTGCCCCCCCCAGTCTCTGTCCCTCCAGCTAACCTGCCGGAGACTCCTGCTGGTTCCACCTTCAAAATGCCCCTGGAATCTGAGCCTCCTCCCCACCCCCACGGCCACCATCTGCCACCGGCCGTCATGTCGGGGTGTCACCTGGGTGCCCAGGGGTCTGGCCTGAGACCCGATCCCTCTCCCCCAGGGTCCTGGGAACACAGCCCGCTCTTCCACCTGGGCCCCTCAGCTGCTGCGCTCGCAGAGAGAAGGCTCCCCTGGGCTTTGGAGACTGGGAGGGGGCAGGTGTGGGACCCCGACTGCAGGCCCCCAACTTGTGCCCCTACTGACACCATGGGCTGCAGACCAGAGTCTTGGGCATGTGGAGCCACAGGCTTGACAGAGCCTCACTGGAGGACAGAGGAAACAGGCCCCTGCGAGTGTCCTTCTCCAAACCCTCCGTGCCAGGGACACACCATCCGCGCCGTCCTGCCTGGGCCCACCTGGGCTAGAGTCATAAACATCTGCTTGCGGAGTCTCTGCTTCCCACTGCTGTAGGCTGAGCCCCTGCCTCCGAATCCTAACCTGAACACCAGCTTTTGCCACCTGGGGCTGGAACTCCCGGAGGGGCATTCTCAGCCCCGGCCTGAGGCCTGGCCACCGGTGTGGGGTGCCCAGAGCTCAGGCTCACCTGGACAGTTCCTCCAGTTTGGATTTGGCGTAGTCCAGGCTGTTGCGCTCCACGTGCTCATGAGGGGTGTGAGCCAGGAGCTCATGCAGCGTCAGGATGTACCTGGGAATCTGGTGTGGGGGGGGGGCAAGGGGGCAGGGAGGGACAGGGACAGGGATGGAGACAGACGGAGGGACCGAGGAGGGATGGAGACGGAGGGACGGGGGCAGAGGGAGGGACAGAGCAGCAGCACAGAAGGACAGCAAGAGAGAGGGGGAGGCAGAGAATGGCCATCAGCTGGGAGGACCCCAGGAACTGGACCGAGCAGGGAAACGGGCGCCCTCTGAGTCTGGCTGGGGCCGGTCTGGGACCAGAGCCCCGGAGCAGCTGGAGGCTGGGGGCCGCAGGAAGCAGGGCGGGCTTGGGCTCAGGACCAGGGGCGCTCCTCGGCGCAGGAGGCCGGCCTCCCCCTCCTGCCCCCCGCGGCCCCCAGCACGCGGCCTGGACCGGGCGGGGCGGGGCGCCACCTGGAACATGGGGTAGGTGAGGAAGGTCTCCAGGGTGCGCTCCTCGCAGTCGGGCTTGGCCTCGTAGTGCTTCAGCAGCTTGTCGAAGTCGCGGTTCTGCTTGCAGTGCGCCAGGATCTGCAGGCTGTACTGGTGGTTGCGGACGAACTCCTGGTAGATGTTCAGCATGGGCAGCAGGATGTCGAACAGGTCCGCTGCAAGGGCGGGGGGCTCAGCGGGGGCTGGCGCGGCTGCCCCACCCGGCGGCCAGCCTCCGACCCCGCCCCACGCGGGAGCCGCGCCCCCGGAGCCCCGCCCCCCGGGAGCCCCGCCCACACGGGAAGCCCCGCCCCGGGGAGAAATCGCCCCAGGGAGCCCCGCCCCAGGGAGCCCCGCGGTGCCAGGGGAGGACTCCGGCACCCCTGCCTCCTCCAGGACCAGACGCGCGAGCCCCAGCAGAATCACAGTTGTAGGGACGGCCCGTCCAGTCTAGACCCCGTGTCTCAGAGGGCCCCTCCAGGATGCGGGCGCTCCCCGTGGGCTCCCCATCTGGGTCCTTCCTGCCAGGAACCGCTCTCCGCCGAGGGAGGCTGCCTCCGGCACAGGCCACACCCTACCCAGTGACCGGCCCAGGTGGGGGTGTAAAGGCCGGCCCCCTGCCTCAGTCCGCGACATCTCTGAGGGGCCGGCCCAGCTCCGGAGTTTCTGAGGGGTCCAATGACGCCCCCGTTGTAACTGTTGTGGCCCCCCTGCTCTGGCTCCCTCATTGGGTCACATGGAGGGCCCCCAAGAGGCCTCCCTCCCAGAGTGTCCCATCTGTGACAGAGGTAATGACCAAGGTCACAAGGTGAGTCTGCAGGGGCTTGGAATCAGGTCTCCTGACTCCCCATTCCAGGCTTCCCACCATACTGCACACCCTCCTGAGTCTGGCCCTCCAGCCATCTGCCGGTCCTTCCGACCTCCCCAGCTGTGCAGCCCCAGGGTCCTCCTGCCCTTCCAGCCCCCCAGGGCCCAACCATTCTCTCCAAAATCGCCCTCCAACACTTGATGGGTGGGGTGGACCCACGGAGCCCGGCTTACAAACCCCGTTAAGAAAGAAAAACAGACTCGGAGCGCGAGCTCCTGGGTGGGGTTGTCCCCTGCCAGGGGACAGCGTGCTCAACTGGGCTTCGGCCGCAGGGGCAGCCCTGTCTTTCCAGGGCCGCTTGAATTCTGACCTTGGGGAAAGTGGGGGTCAATGACTTGAAGACAACAGCAAAAAAGTGTCCACCCACTCAGAGGCCTCCATGGCCTAAGGGTAGAGAAGCTCTTTATTCTAGAAATTCTCCTTCTGGAAACCTATCCCAGGGAAATGCTCCATAAAAAGGAGAAAATCACACACACAGATGATTATTTCCAGTAACAAGAAGTGGGACCAATTCCAAAAAGCCAGTGACGGGCAGTGGAGCATTACACTGCCACCAAAAAGCACACGTCCAGGATAACAACAAACTTGTGCTATGAAGTTAAGTACAAAGATTGAAATAAATAAAAAAACAACCCACAGCGAGATTCAAAATCTAAATTCAGTATGTTTGCAACTATGTAAAATGGGGAAAAAAAAAAAACAACCCAAGATCTATGCAGAGAAAGGAACTGGAAGAAAACACACAGAGATGTTTATGGCAGTTATCTTTGGAGGGAGGACTATGACTGATATTTTTAAACCTTTCTACTTTTCTGGATTCTCAAATTTTCTCAAACGGGTACGTCGATATTATTTTTAAAAGGGAAAAGTAGATAAGTAACTAAAAATATATCGCTTCCTCCTAGAAATATGGTTTTTGCCAACGTGTTTCCCCTTCTCCCCCTGAGGGATTTGGGGGGCTTGTGAGGGGAGTGCCACCAGCCTGGAGGGTGGCCCCGGAGAGGGACGTCCGGGGGGGCCGGCTACTCACCCAGGACCAGGGTGGGCCAGCTGGAGATGCGGGCCTTCAGGCCTTGGTAGAAGATCTGGTGCAGGAACATGATGGTCTCGCTGCAGGGAAAGCACAGGGTGAGCTGCGCCCCAGGGAGTTCCTGCCCCTACAGGGTGTCCCCGGCCCCGAGCCAGCAGCAAGCCGCTTCCTCCACGGACTCCCCAGTGAAAGCCTGTACAGCTCGTGGGGTCCAGTGCTGGTCGAGTATGCAGGACCCCTTGTTAAGAATTGGTGGAGAAAGGGTGCCTGGGTGGCTCAGTTGGTTGGGCGACTGCCTTCAGCTCAGGTCATGATCCTGGAGTCGCTGGATCGAGCCCCGCATCGGGCTCCCTGCTCAGCGGGAAGCCTGCTTCTCCCTCTCCCACTCCCCCTGCTTGTGTTCCCTCTCTCGCTGTCTCTCTCTGTCAAATAAATAAATATAATCTTAAAAAAAAAAAAAGAATTGCTGGAGAATTCCAAGATGGCCCCAAGCAAGGTTCCCTAGGCCAGGGCCGCCAGCCTCCCTGTGCCCCCCAAGTTCTCGCCATCTGGGAGCGACCCTGGGGAACCCCAGAGGAGCCCAGGGCTCTGGAGAATAAGGAGTAAAGGCCGCTGATAACGTGCATATAGGGCTGTGGCCTCAGACCCGCAGGGCTGCACTTAGCCTACACCCCGTGCCAGGCTGTGTGGCCTTAAGCAAGCTGCCTAACCTCTCTGAACCTCAGATCTTTCTGCACTAAATAGGGAGGTGAAATGAGGTAACCCCTGCAAGCAATGGGATGATGTCAGCGCCCGGTGCATAGTGGGTGCTCAGTAAACCTAGCTCTCCACCACCCTTTTGGGACAAGTTAGGGAAGCAAAAGAGCCAGTGTCCCCCCAGCACCGGCTTTGTCACCGCTGAGAGTGCTCCGGGAATGTGCGCTCCTCAGGCAGCTGGCCCCAGAACAGACAGCTCGTCCTCCTCCAAGGACAAGGGGATTTCTGTCTCTGCGGGGGAGAGGCTCCCTCTTCCTCTGGCAGCCCCCTCCCTGCCAGCCGATCCTCCTCTGCTACCGCTCACCACCCCAGCTCCTACCGCCCGGAGACCTGGGGCTCTCCCTGTGTGCCTGGGGCTCGCCTTGAACCAGACTGAGGAGTCCAAAAGGACGCTAAAGTCGTGCACCCTGTTCTTGGACAGGAAAAGTGAGGCTCCTAGAGGAGGGGTTGGGGCCGCCTGAGCCTCTGCTCTCTGCTCACACACCCTCCCCCCACCCCTGGGCCGTCCCCTCTCTCAGCACCGTGTGTCCCCAGGGGGCCTAACCGCCTCAGAACCACAAGGCCGGGCAGGGGTGGAAGGCGCAGGGGGGCACGGGCCTGTGGGCAGCAGAGCATGGGGTCTCCCCCGAGACCTCAGGGGGAGAAGAGGGGAAGGCTGAGGGGAGAGTCGGGGAGAGAGACACACAGATGACACCTCCAGGCTGAACAGCACAGTCAGTAACTTGGTCACATCTGCCAGACGTACAGGATGGAAGGAAAACATGGCACCAGAGAGAACATGGAGATTCCAAGTAGAGGAAACGTGAGCTCCATTCTGAGCGTGGGTCCTGTCATTATGGAGACTCGACTGTCCTCTCCCTGAAGTCCCATGAGAATGGTCCCCCAGGCGTGGTGACACACTGATTCCCTGACCGGGGCCACCCCCAGGTGTGGTGACACACTGATTCCCTGACCACGGCCACCCCAAATGGCTGAAGTCATTTTCAGTTTTAGGCAGCAGGTCCCCTATAGAGTGACTTTTGACAAGGCTGGTTTCTGTCTCTCTGTGGCCCCTAACTAGTCTGTTGAGTGAACAAACGCGTACCAATCCCAAGAACTTTGGCCGGCCACGTGTGAAGACCACTTGGACAGTTCAGAAGCAAGAGACTGAGTGACCTAAGTGTGTGTGAGAATGCACAAAGGGAAGAATATCTGATCTGAGATGGGGAGATTCGGGTTGGGGGACTTTCAGGGTTCTTGAGGGAGCCAGGCAGCTCTGGACTACCCTGAGCACAGCCCCAGCAACACTCAGGGGTGCCTCCAGGCGACAGCTGCTCAGGATGCATTAGGGAGGAAATGAACCTTCTTAAATTCCAACACTGCACAGGCCACTGTAGTAGCATGTTAGGAACATCATAAGCTAGGACTATAAAAAACACAGTTGATGAAGCCTCCATTTTTGAAGTACAAACTGAGAGAATTTCACCTGTAACCTTACTACTTAGAAGCTACCATTGTCACCCATCTCATAAGAAAATAAAATGATCTTATTTTGATTTGATTTTTTAAAAAAATCATTGTTATGTTCTTTGAACATTTATGTACTGGCCATCCGAATTCCTTCTTTTGTGAATTCCCTAGCCATGTCCAATTACTATTTTGTCTCTTCTTAATTTTAAATAACTCTACATATTAAGCACATAACCTAACATACATGTTGTAGACATTTTTGCTCAGCTATCTGCCCACTGATTGTGTGTTTGCTATTTTAATTTTTTGGAAGTTTTTACAGTTTGCTTTGTGAGGCATATCATTTCTTTCTGTCTTCTGCTTCTGAGTGTGTATGGATTGCATACACACCTGTTTTATTTTATTGCTTCATTTTTACATGAAGGTACTCAACTGCAGTTAACTGATGTGAAATGCGAGTGAGGGGTATAAACACAGCCCTCCCAGTGAGGTTAGCCAAGTGCCTGATTGCATCTTTCAAACACATCCGCCGTTCCCACTGCTTTTCTATTCTTCTGACTGTTACTACTTTTTATACGGTCTTAGGTCTGTTTCTAGACTTTCTGTCTTACTTTCTGGCACTACCTTCAGGCGGTTTTCACTTCTTTTAATATATTTATAAAACTTTATAACATTTTAAAGTTGGGCATGTTTCTTTCATTGTTCTTATCTGGAAACACTGTTACCTACTTATATGTATTTATGCCTTCAGTCTAACCTCAAGATCACTTTGCTATGCTGCACTTTGGTTGGAATTATGTTACATTTATAGAATATTTTGGGTGAACACGGCAACTCTATGACACAAAATCTTTCCATCCAAGGTGCTGGTCCACTCCCTGTTTTTGTACAGCCTACAAGCTCAGAAAGATTTTTACATTTTTAAACGGTTTGGAAAAAAACAAAAGAATATTTCATAGTATGTGAACATATGTGACATTCATATTCTAGCATCCATAAGTGAAGATTTATCAGAGCACACCACCTGCGTTCATTCATAGATTGCCTGTGATCGCTTACTTTCTTCATAGACTGCATGGCACACAAGGTCTAAAATGTCTCCCATCTGGCGCTCTACAGAAAACCTGTGCTGAGCCCCGGCCCGTGCGAATAGTGACCCTGAATTGTGCGTACCTGGTGTAGCTGCGTACATGACGGCCCTGACCCACCCACAGCAAGCAGGACCCAGACACAGAGTAAGTCGTTATTTAAATGTGATGGGTGCCACAAAGGGAAGCAGCAGGCCCTGGGAACACATAAGCAGGGACATAAGCTAATGGTGGCAAGGGACATGGGGGTGGCCAAGGACGTGACAGCCAAGGGAAGACGTGAAGACAGAGTAGGAGACACCTGTCAAGGACGGTAGGGTGGGAAGAACATTCGAGGGAGAGGCAGTGACCTGTCTGCAGAACACACCTGGGACGTGCTCATTCTGCCTGGTGCCCCCTGAGCCCAGAAAGGGGCGTGACTCACCCACGGGCAGTCCAGAGTAGGCGGGCAGAGCCTGGCCCCTCCACTCCTGCCCCACCCTCTGCCCATCCACACAGCCCGTTACCCATCGCCCCTCCCGTGCGGACACGACTAATCCCTGGTGGCACACTGCCCTCCCCCCCGTCCCTGGTCTCACCATCCCACTCAACCCAGAACGGCAGGTGGCCACTGCCCGTCAGTCAGAGCGGGCATCGATGTACAAGCCACCTGGGCACCCCCCTTCCCCGGGGCAGGATGCCTCTGGTCGCAGGCAACGCCTGTGGTGCCCAGTGCAGGGGGGCCGGGCGTGGTTTCCATGGCAAGGAAATAGCCCCAGTGTGCGAGCTTCTTGTCCGGGCTAACCCAAACCTCCTGCACAGGTTTACTTGGAAAATCTTTCTTCCCCTACTGGGGGAGCACACCGTGAACCCCTCCCCGCCCTGCAGCAGCCTCCAGGAATCCGCCAGCCTGAAGAGAGTCCTTCCCCAGCTCCAGCAACTACCAAGTTAGCATCAGGTTTCCAACGGGGCCAGATCTCTCAGCCTAAAAGCAAATCCAGCAGAAAGACATGTGCAGGAGTCTCTTCCATAAGTGGGGCAGCAGCCTCCGTGGTCGGAGGCAGGGAGCGCCAGGCGGTCCGTCTGCGTCCCGGATGCTGCCTCCACAGCGGGGCTCATGTGCAAGGGAAGGCTCTCCAGCAGTGCAGGGGCGAGGTGGAGTGCACCTCCAGACCCTCGTGACCATGAGCAGGGGGAGGAGGCTGGGGGTCAGGGGACAGGATCCCAGCCTGCTACTGAGCAGGGCAGTGGGGAGTACAGAGCTTAACAGTAAACAGGGCTGGGCTAAAACTGCAGCACACAATTGCTGTGTGCCCTTGAGCACACCCTGCAACCTCTCTGAGCTCCAGCCTCATGGGGCGTTGCTGAGGACTGGAAAGCATGCAGGTGCAAAGCAGGTTCCACGAAGCACCACCGTAATGTGGTGAGCGTCACCCAGAATGTTCACTCCCGCCAAGTGCTGGCTGGGGTTGTCATGAGGGCAAGGGAAGCGTGACGCCTTGTGCTCATGAGGGCACAGAGGACGGACGGTGAAGGTCATGCTGTACCCCATGAACCATCCAGTGAGCTGCTAATGATCACAAGGCAGCCACTCCTAGGTCATCCCTCCCCCAGTCTGGCCCCGCGGGGAAGGAAAGAACTCTAGCCTGTTCCCATGGGAGATCAGGGCCAGGGTGAAGAGGGAGCCGGCCCCACAGGACATGCATCCCTGGATATGCTCACTGGGTTCTCTTACTTAAAACAGTAAGAAAAACAGTGGAATACATTGATTGCTTCTCTACGTTGAACCAGCCCTGCATTCTTGGGGTAAATTTCATTTACTCATGATGCATTTCTGGATCCAACCTGGTAATGTTCTGTATCTACGAGATCCGATAGGAGACAGACTTTGCTTTGGATGCTGGAGTGACGCTGGCCTCACAGAGGAGGAGGGAAGCGTCCCCTCCCATTAGATGTGGATTCCGTTCCCAGCAGCTGCATCACCGGGGGCGTGACTGTTAGGTTAATGTCTCGCTCCCACGGAGCACTGGACACGTAGCTCGGTGCAAGATGCTGTGTATGAACCCCTCACTGGATTCTCTGACCCCTGTAAGAGGCAGGTACATTCCTGGAGGCCGTGAGAACTGATCAGGCTGCCGCTGTTTGGACCAGGATCAGTGAGACCGCAAGGGCGAAAGCCTGGCGCCAGGAGGAGGGGGCTTCCTCCCTCCCGTTTATCCTCAGGCAAAGGCCTCCAACCTGATCACGCACTCGTTGAAAGATAAAAACCATGGGCTATTTTTTCCAACAACTTTTGAGCAAAGGTGGGGAGCCGGCCTAAAAACTCTTAACTGAAGACTCCAGGATAAAAGAACTCCATGAAAGATCGATGAAGAATAACAAAAGCATGGAAAGATTAAAGAAATACAACAGCACACGTTTCTTAGTGGTTGTGATATGCGGTCACCGAAGGCTTGCAATTGTGGCCTAAAAATGCGAGAACCAGGTGCAGCACAGAAGGGTATCAATGCCTCCTGCAGCTCAGCTGACCCCCGAACGGCCGGGGTTCGGACCCCGTGGCCCGTTACCCACGGGTTTCGTTGATAAATACAGTACGGCGCCAAAAATGTATTTCCCTTGTGATTTTCTGAGCACTGTTTTCTCCTCTCTAGCTTTATTGTGAGTTACGGTCTATAAACCATTTAACGAGCAGATCACGTGTTGACTGACTTATGTCATCAGTAAGGCTATCCGTAGTTAAGTTTCGGGGAGCCCAAAGCTATACGTGGATTTCCGAGTGTGCGCCCCTCACCCCCGAGCTGTCCAAGGGTCAGCCGCGCCTAGCCTCCGGGCAGGGGACTGCCTGCAGGTGCAGTCCGTGACCCGTGGCCGCGGCACCTGTGGGAGATGCGGTTCCCCGGCTCCACCCCAGACCTCCCAACAGAGAAGCACAGGGTGGGTCCCCGCTCCTGCGCTCACATGTGTGCATCTGTGGACCCTGCTGCACCGCCCGGGGCGCTCAGGAAGGGATGCATCCTGTCACCGCGTTGGAAAGACCCCACTGCAGTTTCTGGGGTACGTGTTACCCGATTTCACAAAAAGGTAATTGATTTTCTTGGTTTTAGGAAATAAGGGCATTTACGTAATACTTAAAAATTCTGTTCAACATGTATATTAAGCAGCAACGTTGTAAGGCCGGGTGGTTTAATTTCTAGAAGGTCTTATGAGGTCAAAAGCTATTCCCCGCCCTGTCTGTCCGTCTCTTTCCTGCCCCGACCCTGGTGCGGCTTCCACACCCATGGCCTCAGGCCTGCCCATCCCAATGACTCTGGGCCTCTCCAGCCGGACCCCTGACCAACGTCTGCACCTCTCCATCACCTCCGGGCCGCCCCACAGGCCCCTCGCACCCGGCACCCCCTGTGTCCTGACTGCCACGGGGCAGGCCTGGGTGAGGGCCGGTTAGGATGAGTGAAGCGGCTGAGTGAGGCGCATTTTGGCAGGATCACAGCCGAAGGAACATCTCGGGGTACACGGTGGCCCACCCTAATTCCTGGGGGGGGTTGCTCACACATTGCACTCTGGTTATGTGTTTTCACGTCCGTTCACCCAATTTTAACACCCACCGAAAAGCTCATCTATTTAAACCATTTCTTAAGAAACCCTTTTAAAGAGAGGTAGACAGCCGAAGGGCCGCTGCTAGCTCGGCCTTCTGGGGCAGCACGAGCCCCACAGTGACGCCAGAGTCGCCATTTGGGAACGGTGTGCGCCTGCAGGGCAGGTGGACCGTGCGGCACAGAGCCTGGCCTGTAGGTCCTTGCGGCCCCATCAGGGTAGAACGGAGCACAGTCAGCGTTCCAGGGCCAGATTTAAAACTCGGAACACTTCCGCCGCGGCTTCTCAGCGTTAGCACTAACACGGCGGGAGCCATGAGCCTCTGTTGCGGGGCCGGTCTGTGCCCCGCCAGGGTCTCCAGCAGCCCTGGCCTCGGCCCCCTCGCGGCCCACAGCACCCCCAAGCCCAGCCAGGTTCTGGCCATCAGATGCGTCTCCAGACATGCCGGGCCTGCCCTGGGGGACACGATGCCCCAGTGGGGCACCTCCACCCGCTATGCGGCACCCACACTTGCGGGGGGGCGGTGGCTTGGAGCCACGTGGCTCGGGCGGCTTCCACGCCGTGGGGGCCGTTTGCTCAGCGGCGCCAGGTGGTCTCCGTCCTGCCGTGGCCGAGCGCCCAAGGCGGGCGCGCCTCTGGGGGAGCTCACCTGTTCAGGAAGATGCTGCTGACGTCATCGTGCGTGATGGGGGGCTTCTTGGAGCTGGCTGCCATCCGCAGCGGGCGCAGGAAATTGTTGACCAGGATGTGCAGCTGCTGCACGTACTCGGCCTCGGCCTCCAGCATGCTGAACACCACCTGGTTCCTCTTGCGCATGCTGTCGGCATGGGGCGAGCGGATGTAGTCCTGGATGATGGTCTTCCACTTGCGCCGACATAACCAGCCCCGCAGGAAGCTCTGCACCTGTGGGACCGGGCAGGGGTGGGGGGGCTCCGTCAGCTGCGCTGCCCCCGGGGCAGGGACCGGGCTTTGTCACCCCTGCCCCCTCCACAGGCTGGGCATGCGGGGGACAGCCCGGCCGAGGGCCAGGCTGCGAGGTCCTGGGCGAGTCGCCTGGTCGCTCTGAGCCAGTCCCCCATCTGCGGACGGGGCTCACGAGGGGGTCCCCGGGCTCCAGTGAGGTCGGGGAGCTTGCCAAAATTCCAGGCCCCGCCCCGGACCTCTGCATCCTAACAAGACCCCTGGGGGGCTGTAGAAGCGTTCTCTGAAGGAGGAAAAGGGTGGCCCAGGCTTGCATTATGGGAGGGGGCCGGAGGACAGGGGCCTGCCAGGCCATGCTGGGCCCACCTCATCTCGGCTAATGACTGGCCTGAAAGCCCAGAAGTTTCCATGAATGCTCATCTGGAGAGAGGGCGATTATCCAATTGAACAGAACATGGCAAATGAGTTAATCCCATGCTTGGAGCCTCGTCAGCGCTTCTGCCTGGAACCTCTCCTCCTGCCTCCGTTGGGGAATGGACGCTGATGCTTGATCTTGGAGTCGGGCTGCTTGGCATGGCTGCGTGTTGGCAAGAACTCAGGGGAGGACCTCGATTCCCATCCACACAGAGCTCACTGCGGCTCTTGCGGCTGGGATGGAGCCCGGGGCAGGGGGTCCCGGGGTCGCCTGCTGAGGACCAGGCACAGATGCTCGTCAGTCTTAGCTGAAAGGGGCACCAGCAGCAAGTTCAGTTGGTGGGCTTCGGATCTGTGGCTGGGGCCATCTGCCCTACAGACGGGGTCGGCCCAGAGCCCAGACCCCTCTCTTCCAAGACAGGGAGGCTCTCTCCACCAGGGAGGGCTTGCCTGAGGCCCAGGAGGGTGAAAATCGAGGGAGGGAGGAGGATTTCAGCTGGTACTTAAAATGTTCCAACCAGGGGCGCCTGGGGGGGCTCAGCCGGTTGGGCGTCTGCCTTCAGCTCAGGTCATGATCCCAGGGTCCTGGGATCGAGCCCTGCATCGGGCTCCCTGCTCAGCGGGGACCCTGCTTCTCCCTCTCCCGCTCCCCCTGCTTGTGGTCTCTCTCTCTGACAAATAAATAAATAAAATATTAAAAAAAATGTTCCAACCAGAAGGGCTTCTCAAAATGGGCCGAGCAGCCCAGGGGAGTCACAGCACAGAGGGAGGCCAGCATGCCCCTGCTGGCGTGGGGCTTGGCTCGGACCTGGTGATGAGCTCTGAGGCCCGTGGGGGCCTGGCAGGTCCTCCAGATGCAGGACGCCGGCCGCTGGGACGAATGGGGCTTGTGTGGTAGGTGGGCCCTGGGCTGGGCGACCTCGTGTTTTCCAGGAGGGGCTGTGTCCGGGAAACACAGGACGTGTGCTCTGGAGCTTGGCTGGGGTCAAAACGTCACGAGCAAACGCTGAGCTGTGTGACCTGGGCAAGTGCCTTTGACTCTCTGCACCTCAGCCTCCCCGTGCGTGAAATGCAGATAATAATGAAACCCCAGAGGGTTTTCAGTGAGGAATGAATTAATCTGCATAAAGCTCCTAGAATAGTGTCAGACACATAGAAAGTGCTTAATGAATGTTAGCTATTTCTATTTTTGAGAAACAAAATCTAGATTTTTATGTGAAGTGTTTGGCTTTTAAAGCACTGGCAACAAATTAAAAAGAAAAAAAACCACACTGTGTGGGCTCAGAACCCCAGACACGCCGGGAGGCTGAACTTGGCCCGGGAGGACGCCCGTGTGCAGTTTCTGGTCTGGGGGTGTCGGGGGCTTTCTGTCCGCTCCACATGCAGGATTCTCCGGTTTCACCGGTCTGTCTTAGGGTGACTCAGGCTCCCCAGCTTCAAGTCTGGCAGCTTGCACACGCACACATGCCCCTTCCCTGTGCACCTGCTGCCCTCGGCTGGCCCACAGTGCTGGTTGGCACCCCAGCCACCAGGCGGATTCCCAGGGCCTTCTACCACCTCTGGACTTTCATGGAGCAAACCAGCAGGGGCAGCTCTGGGGTCCATGGGTTCCCATGCCGAGGTGGGCAGGGGACTAGAGGGGGCAGCTGTGAGAGGAAGGGTCTGCTTGAGGAGGGGGCCAGGGGGGTGTTGCAGTGGGGAGGGGGCCGGGGAGGGGGCGTGGCAGTGGGGAGGGGGCCAGGGGGACCTTAGGAGGTTGCCCCCATTATATGAGAAAAGCTTGCAGCTGGAGCCTGCAGCCTGGATTCCTTCTGCTTTGGAGCCTGTTCTACGCATAAAACGGGGGGGCGACTACCCCCAGGGGCAGCCCGGAGAACCCACCTGACCAGTGCTGTTCAGGGGTCCTGTCTTAGGCTGAATTGGGGGGCCGCCTGTCCTGGGGGCGGGGGGACAGGGGTGACAGTGCCAGGAGGCTCTCTAGGAGGGCTGGTACAGACCTTCTTGATCTTCTTGATGTCGCTGTCCTCATCGTTGGGGGTGACGGTCTGGGTGGACTGGATGCGCTCATTGTCCTTGAGCAGGCACGCGATCTGTAACAGGGATGCCGATCCCAGTGGTGAGCGAGTGCCCTGTCACCTCCCCGGGGGCCTTCGGCGCGTGTCCCCCGCTCTGTGGGAGGCTGTGGAGCCAGACGGTGAGGGAGCACTGGACTGGGAGCCCTGGCACCCGGGCTCTGGGCAGCGGGCACCCCGGTGTAACCTGGAGGCTTTGCCTTTAATCTGTGATTGTCCTTCCTACGCCCCAAACCATCAGCCCCTTTATTTTGAATTTTTACTGTGGCAAAATAACATCAAACTTAACCATTTTAACCCGTTTCAGGGGTACAGTTGAGAGGCATTAAAGTACATGCTGGCCGTTGTGCAGCTGTCCCCACCACCCATCTCCAGAACTTTCCATCATCCCACACTGAAACTCTGGCCCCATGAAACAACGTTTCCCCGCCGCCCCCCACGCCCAGCCCCCCATCAACCTTCTGACTATGAACTTGACTCCTCTCCGTCCTCACAGGACTGAAATCCTACAGAATCCGTCCTTCTGTGACCAGCCGATTCATTTGGTGTAAGTAACGTTCTCCAGGTCCACCCATCCTGCCGCAGGTGTCAGAACACCGTCCTTGTTAAGCCTGAGTAATTTCCCGTGGTACTTACGTACCCTATTTTGCAATCCCTTCATCTGTAAACGGACACTTGGGCGGTCCCCTTATTTTTTCAGACAAAGCTGTGCTGGAATCAGAGAAAAGCGGTGTTTTCCTGCTGGCTTGGCTGCCCCCACCCCCCGGGCTGCCCTGCAGCCCTTCTCTGCCCAGGACCCCCCTGTGGACACTGCTGGCCTAGAAACATGGGCCAGCCCTGGGAAGGAACGCCCGTCTGCCCTAGAAGGCCTCCAGGCGCCTGAGGCGGGGATCAGAGTCCAGCACAGCTGCAAGGACAGAACCAAGGGGCGGTGCCCAGGAGAAGGGGGGCCCCAGGCCACACGGCGGCGGGCCCCTGGGCCTCCTCGAGTGGACGGCCAGGGCGCGTTCTGCCCGCCGCTCCTAGCCAGCGCTTCTTGCCTGCTCCCATCCACCTGCTCCTGGTGCGTCGCGTGTGGCTGGGTGCTCGGCACACACCGCATCATGACATAGGGAAGCGAATTCCAGAGCATCGGAGCAATAGCAACAGCACAGAGCTCACCCCCAGGAGCACGCTGCCGCCGCTCGGCCCCACAGACTGAAGATGGTGGCTCGGGGAGCCTCCGAACACGGCCACGAAGCCAGCTCCCTCCTCAGAGCACAGGGCTCTGTCCCCTCAAGGCCACTTGAACCGCAGAGTGAATGGGCTCTCACAATTGAACATTTTGAAAGCAAAATGGAACGGTTATCCGCTCTCCACTCCCCTGGTTGCTAAAATTGCCCCAGCAATGCTCGCAGAGTGACTGAAAATATCTGAGCCACATTCAGGCCGGCATGGCTCTTCTTCCCCCGTCCTCCCGGCCCCGCCCCCCTCCCAGGGCCTTTTTCACTTCTCTGAGAACATCTGCACGTCGACATACAGGCTGACTCTTTGATCTGTGCTCAAGAGGGACACACACGTGCGCACACAGACACACACGTGCGCACACAGACACACACGTGCGCACATGCAGGCTCTTAGCTCAGAAATGCGGGGATGCCCGGCCAGCACCCCACACCTGGCCTGATGTTATCACTTCTCCGCCACAGCTTTGCACACCCTACCCCTCCTCTCTTCACAATGGCGATGCACGTGTATGTGTGTAAGTAGCCTGTGTCTAAAACTGATGGCGCTCTTCTCAGGCAGAGGCACTCCAGGACAACTCCTCAGCAGGGCCAGGGTGAAAAATAGATGGAATATGCTCCATGTTCAGGCAGTGCTGGCAAGCCCTGGAGTCTTTACTTAAGGAGCGGGCTGGGTGGGCAAACTCTGGAGTGCCGTGAGCCCGGGGACCCTGCAGAGATCATGGGCCGTGGCTCCTCCCTGCCAGGAGTGGGCATCGGGAGGTGGCGGGAACCCCAGCCCCACGGAGCTCCCACTGGCAACCTTTCTCGAAACCTGGCTGGTCCCCTCTGGGGGGTATTTGCTTTGGAGCCGGTTTGCTAGGCTGGTACCCAGGGGCTGCTCGGTTGGCCCTCGTCAATGACAGCCCCAGAGAGCTGACACTTGGGCTCCTGCCTGCCCCCCTGGCTGGCTGCCCACCAGCCCCAAGATGGTGTCTCCGATCCAGAATGCATTTAGTACAGCAGCTGACAGTGAATTCATCCAGGTATTTTTTTGTTAACAGCCAAGGTTTTGCTAAAGACTCCGTACTTCTTGCTCTTTAAGGAGCTGACACATGGCCCAGCACCCTCTCCTTCCTGCTCGATCCCCTCTGGCCTCTTGCAAGCCATCCAGGTGCCCATCTCCGTCCTCCTGGGCCGACCTTGTCTGCATACCTTGGTAGCGTCTCTGTGCTAGGCTCTAGCAAGATGCAGCTGGAGGTGGAGAAGCCAGATCCCTCCCTGGAGGAGCTCCCAGCCTAAGAGGGGGGTCAACCCAACAGGACAAGGCCAGAACAGGCGTGCGGCCCCTGCAGTGGGGGGGGGGCGGATCTCGCCAGGGAAGCAGCAAGGGCCATCCAGAAGAGGTTCTGAAGGATGAATAGCAGTCCAACAGGAGGGCTATGGGACAGAGGACTTCCAGTGGAGGGGATGCTGTGAACAGAGCCACAGGGCACGCAGGGTGTGGCATGCGAAGGCAGCAGGGGACACGGGAGACAAGCCTCCAGGCGTGGAGGTGCGCCCCAGTGCGGACTGCGGGGGTCGGCTGTGCTCTCCCACATTCCCCAGAGCGGTCTCCTCGCTGCCCTGTCTTCCGTGCTGGGGATCCACGGCAAGCTCTGTTTGCAAGACTGATCCAAACCCTGCACTGAAGATCTCGAGGGTCCTTCCAGAGCCAGGGCTCTGGGACTCGGGGTGCTTCAAGCCAATAACGTATTAGGACTGCGTCTAAGCTCCTACCCTGCCCTGCAGGGCCTGCTTCACTGCTCCACACTCCCCTCTGACCATCAACGGGAGAAAGATCGCTGCTGAAACAGTGAAATGCTGCCAAGCGGGGTGCCCGGAGTGGATGCTTCTTCTCAGAGGTGGTTGCCCCTTTGCTTTAGCAGGTCCTCAGCTGTGTGGACGAAAGACGGGGCCTGGCAGGGGGTGGTCGGGCGAGCCAGAGAGCAGGGGTGCACGGTGCACTGCAGACTTCCGTCGGGGCGCAATCTCGTGTGTCCCTGGAGAGAGGTGGCCGCAGGGCTGCAGGGTGCAGCGACAGGGCTCGGCACCGGGAGTGGGACCTGCGCAGAGCCCCAGACCCACAAGGGCCCAGGTTTGGCTGAGGGCTTGGCTGCTGTCGCCCGGACGTTCTGAGGGCCCTGGGTCTTCCTTGTGCCCCAAGCCCTGCAAATTATGTAACTGGGGCCGAAGGAAAGGAAACCGTGAAATGCTTAAGGATCGGCTCTCTGAAGGAAAGACCCTGACTGGCAGCACCTGCCGAGTTCATGGTGGAAACAGTCCATGTCCAACTCCCACAAATGGAGTAACCAGCCTGCAGAACTCCTGAAGGTTAGATGGCAGGTTCCTGCAGGCCACTAGGAGCCAGCTCCCGAGCACCACGCTGTGTATGTATGGGAATCCTGGTGAGATATCCCCCCCGCCAGGAAGGGCCAGGGGACGTGAGGGCGGGGGCGTCTCCTGTGTGTAAGCTGGTTTCTGACTCAGCTATGGAAGCCCCTCCTCTGCTGTGTCCACACCTTTCGGGAAGTCTGTTCCATGTTCCGCACGATAGCCCGTGTTGGGGGCTTGGGGATGGAAGGGGGAGGCACAGTCGGGTGGCCGTTAGGGCTTCTGCAGACTCTGGTTCTCCTCCACGGATGGATGAGGCAGGACTGTGCTTCTCAGCCCCGGGACGGTGGGCCTGGTCCTGTGACGCGCTGTGTCCATGGAAGTGTGAGCAGAGGTGTGGGCATTGCTCGCAGTTCCCTTCCCTGCGTGTGAGCCGGGGGCCCTGTTGGCTGTGTCCCTGACTCTGAGTGAGCGTTTGGGAGCAGGACCCCCAGTGGACACCCCGCGTGAGGGAGGAAGCAACCCTTGCTGCTTGAAGCCCCTGCGATATGGGGGTGGTGACTGGCACGGGAGTCGGGTCACCCTGACAGATGCATGAGCTGACCACCGGCGGGGTACGGAGCAGTGTGGGGGGGAGGGCAGGAGAAGGCGAGCCCCTGCACGTCCTCGGGGATGTGCGGGACAGGCTTGAGCAACTGTGTCTGGCTAGCGGGAGACTGGTGGATCGTGGAGGCTCGGGGCCATCGAGGTGACGCTGTGGCGGCAGATACGCCTCCTTTCATCAGACCTGGCTCCTCAGCGGGTAGGCACGGGCCAAGGATCTGGAGCCAGGAGACCCAAGTCCGAGAGCTGGGACTCCATCTCCCAGGTGACCTTGGAGCAACCTTGGATAAGTCCCTCCCTTTTCTGTGGACCTCAGCGTCTTCAGATCCCTCCAGCGGTCCCGTTCCAAGGCCTCCTGCATCCCTCACGGCCTACTTCCTGGGAACAGGCTGTGTCCACCTGCCCTGCAGGATGTGTGTGTGAGACAGACTACAGCCCGAAAGCCTGACTAAGATGGCCTTTCTTTCAAAGTCTTCTTGAAAGGGATCTTTTGCCCTGGAGGGCGATGCACTCAGTTGGAAGCATTGCTCCACATTCCCACCAAGGTGTTTCTGCTGCCATCGGACATACACGCGCACACACGCACGCACACGCATGCGCACACACACGCACATGCATGCGCACACTCACTACCGACCTGCTTCTGTTGCCCAGCGACACAGGACTCCCCTTTGGCACCCACCCCTGCTTTCAGGCACAGATCCCTGGAACCCTCCAAGGCCACATGCCACATGAACCCACACCCTCTCTGCCCATAAAAGAACTCACTTCTGCTGGGGTTCACACCACAAGCTCTGTGACATGCTGATGTCATCGTTCCCCAGTCAGACCCAGCGGGAGACACTTCCCTTGCTCCAGGACCCAGCTCAGAGCGTGACGCCCACGTGTTCCCTCAGCACCTACTACGTGCCAGGCATAAGGAGCGAGTGAGAAAGGGCAGCCTGGCCCTCCAGGAGCCCCCGCCGGGCCGGTGGGGTGGTGGACGGGCATGGAGCCGGCTCTGCTGAGGTAGGTGGGGTGTGGGAATGGAGCAGGGGCAGTGAGCGTTCTCCCGGCTGGGGCGGGGGCCTGGGAGGAGACATTGGACCTGCTGGGACTCCACGAGGCAGGAAGGTGGGATGACAAGGGTGCAGGGCACAGGGCTCACGGCTCCGGGCACTGGCTGGAGCCCCTTGAGACTGGGGAGTTAGGGGCAAGAGGGTGAGGCTGTGGGCAGCGGTCAGGGGGTTGCAGGCTGAGTGAGTGAGTAGTGGCACCTGGACCGCCCTGCTCATAAAGCTAATAATTGGGGACTGGGGTCGGGCCTCTGGTTCCTCACGGGGTGCAGCCTGGACTCGGGGATGTGTGCTGGGCTGGGGGAGATCCCTGGGGGGTGGTCTCCGGGACGGTTCTGATTCCCGAATGAACCAGGTGGCTTAGAGACGGGACAAGCTCGCATCCTGGAGCCGCAGCCCTGGGCTCCAGTCCCAGCTCTGCGCCCCCAGCTGCGTGCGCTCGGGCAGGTGGCTTGCGGTCTCTGAGCCCGCAGCCCCTCAGGATGCTCATGGGCAGACTGAGGCGGCCTGTCTGAGGTGCCCGATGCAGGACTGGGGAAGGTATGTTGAACCGGAACTCCCAAGGGGACACTGCAGCTTCGTGGTGGAGCAACAAGGTAGGATCGATGCCTTCCATCTGACCGTTCCAGGCAGACCTGGCTTCAGGAGCATGGGACGGGACCGTGCCTGGAGCTCCCAGCTCTGTGGCTCCCATCTTGAAATTCTTAATAATTTCCTCTGAATTCTGTTTTATAAGTGACATCTGCTGGGACTGTGGGGCACAGCTCAGGGCCTTGGAGCCTTAGCTCACAGTGTTCCTACCTCTCACTTGCCGCCTCCCCGAGGCGGGTTCTCGACTGCCCACTCCCCACACCCTGGCACCCTGGGACCCACGACCACTGCTACCCTCTGTCCGGGAGCAGCTGGGTGGCATCAGCAGGGGACACTGGAATCCATCTGCAGGAGCCTCAGTGTAGGTGCGGCGGGGGGCATCCAGTGCGCATCCGTGGGGTCTCAGGGAGGCATGGGAGACAGCAGCTGGTGCATTCGGTGGGTGACCCCATAATCTGGGTACCAAGCACATCATGGTGCAGAGGTTGGGGGAGGTGGAGGTTGAAGTTGGGGGTCACCTGCCCACCATGGGTTGGGGAGGTGGGCTGTGGGGAGGGGGGTGACTTCCTGGCCGCAGCCTTGCGTTTTCCCCTTGCATTGGGCCCTGGAAATTACATAGCTGACTCTGACTGCCAGAATCTGTGCTCTCCCATCCCCTCCTCAGCGCAGAGCCCACGGCTCTTGTGTGATGTGGCCAGACGGTGCCGCGTGCGCCGTGGGGCGAGGGCTCAGATCCGCCTACGGTGGGTGCGGAGGCCTGGGCGCTGCATTTCTAAGGAGATACCGCTTCATGGACGGCGCTCAGTATCACGGTCCTAGCAGGCTCAGCCTGGTGACAGCGCAGTCCCCAGACGGCCGCCCGGCGAGCCCCGGAAGAGCAGAGAGAAGGGGCTGCCGTGACTCTGACCACCCGGCGCCCCTGCGCCCCTGCCGTGCTGGCTGGTGATGCAGGATGCTTAGTCAGCGTGGCCCTCGGCATGGCAGCCTGCAACTCGCCCCTCATCTTGCGCCATCCTCACAACCTTGCCGGGTGAGGGTAAAAAGCCCATCTTACAGACGAAGAAACTGAGGCACAGGGCTTGGGGGCAGAGGTGGGATTTGAACCCAGATCTGACTATGCGCCCTTCCTGCTCTGCTGGTCACAAGCCCCCCACTCCCCGCCCCTCCAGGAGCCCGGGGTGGTGTGAGGTGCTGGTCTGGGGCCTGGACCCGGCCGGCGGTCACCTCTGCCTTCAGCCGCTCGATCTCGATCTCCCCGTCCTCGATCTGCCGCCGCAGCTGCTTGGCCACCGTCTTCTCTGTCTCCACGATCTGCAGCAGGTGCAGGTACTTCTGCATCAGTGCTTCATGCTCCGTGGCCAGGGTCCGATAGCTGCGGACAGATGGACACACAGGTTAACACGCTGCCTGCCTGAGCCCTAGAGTCCAGCCCCAGTGGGACGCCCCCACTGACGGCACTCCCGAGGTCCCGAATGCTGCACACAGTGCCCGGGGCCTCCTCCCCAGCTCCCGGCTTGCGCCCTGACCTCTGGGTCCCACTGGTGCCGTCTTCCCCCAGCAAGGCCCCCGGGCCTTTGCACGGGTGGATCTTCTGTCTGAAGCCTGTCTCCCCTGCTGTCTTTCCTGGGCTTTGGCTCTAGCCACAATGCTGTGTTCTCCGACCCAGACTCTGGGGGTGCCCCCCAGCCCAGGTCTCTGATCCCAAACCCAGGGCTCTGGGCACAGGCCCACGCCAGGGCAGCCTCGGCCGGGAGGCTTGTGTTGGGGGAGACTGGCAAGAGGCTGGAAGGTTAGGGGGGCCAGGTCAGAGGGCCCCCCCATAGGATAAGCAGAGGGTGGAAGAGGTAGCCCAGCATTTGTGTAGGTTAACAGGCCTCAGACTTGCAGCGTGTCCCGGTTGGGGGAGCCGAAGACCAGCCGTGCCCTGCCCAAGGTCACCGGTCCCAGGCCTCTGAGGGTGGAGCCAGGTGGCCTGTGTTCTGGGCCAGGGTTCTCCCCGACACCCCACAGCACGAGCAGGGCCGTGTGAAGGTGTCAGAGCTGGGGAAACACCATTCTGTAAAGGAGCGCCGAGGGGCTTTGCAAGGGAAGCCTCAGCAGGGCCCATCGAGGCAGGAGGCCAGGCATGGCCGCAGAGGGAAGGTCCCCCGTCCCTGGCTCCCACCCTCCCCTCCCCTCCCTGCGCCTGCGTCCCAGCTTCCTCCCACCCTCTGCTTCTCTGCAGCAGCGGGCTCCCAGTTTCTGGCCTCCAACCTCAGCCGCTGGAGTTCCCTGCCCACTTCCCAGCTCCGGCCTCGCCCCCTGCCCCATGGGTGGTCCTGTGCCTGCCCTGCAGCCCGCCTGCGTCATCCTCACGCTCCTTTGCTGGTGCTGCCAGCCCCCCGGCACGGCCACCCCTGCCCCGCGGGTGCAGATTCTGGTTGAGGCTCCGTGCTCTGACCCACTCTACCTGCCAGGCCCAGCCTCGCTCGCTCGCACACCCGTTAGCCCAGGGACTTCCCACGGAGCCTTAGTTTGCTCATCCGTGAAATGGGGGCTGTGCCAGCGTGGGACGGTCACCACTCTGTGACTCCCCTCCCGTCAGAGGGCAGAGACCCTGCTCGCCCCACCCTGGACCCCCAAACGTCCGTTTCTTCTGTGTCAGCAGCGGCCCCTGTCCCACAGGCTCTCTCTCCTCGGCACATAGGGAGCCCCGAGTCCCTCCACGTGAGGGACAAACCCAGCCCCTCTCCCACCTGTACAGCAGGTGGAAGAGAGCAGCCTGCCCTCACCAATCGTCCCCGCTGTCCGGCCCCCACTTGCTCCTAGCCCAGGGCAGCCCGGGGCGGCTACCTGCGCCCACAGGAGTGGGGCCCCTGTCGGGGTGACCAGTGGGCTCCCCACATGCCCAATCGAGGGCACACTTTCCCGTCTGGTGTCTTCTTACATGACTTTTCAGCTGCCCTGGATGCAGCTGGTCAGTGGGGCGCCGGGCTAGCGACGCTGGCTTCAGTCACCGGCTCAGGGCCTGCACACACGTGCTCTCAGCCCTAAATGACATGGGAGCCCAGGTGGCTGCACGTGGGGAACGGCCTTGCACTGAGGTGGTCGGGGGGGCCCCCGGGAGGCTGAGAAAGCCTGGTGCCCTGATGGGGTCAGAGGAGACTGACTCCCGCCGGCCCTGAAGGTGGCAGGGGATGGTGGGGTGGGTAGACGGGGCCAGGGGAGCGGGGCGCACGGCGGACCTGGAACACGTGCCCGGGGAGGGTCCTGATCCCGAAATCAAAGCTCGGTCTTGGCTTCCCCATCCGTCTAAAGATCAATAAGGCTGTACGAGAGGACTCTGCTTGGCAGGACTATTTGCTTAAGATGAGGACTCTGCTTCCCTTACAAAAATGAGTGTTAACTAGAATATTAAGTTTTCGTTTCTCCCACTTCCCAAGAGGCTCAATTCTCTTTGAAAAGGAAACTCAGCAGAGAGATGACGGGGTCTGTCTTCACGCTGCCGCACTTCTCTGCACTCCAGGGCGTGGAAATCTGAGATTTGGTTCGTTTGTCGCGGGCACTGGCGCTCCGCGTGGAGCAGGGTCTCCCGTGCAGCCGATCTGGGCTTCTCCGTCCCCAACCCCCAGTAACGAGGTACTGAGCACCTCTTTGGGTAGCACTGTCTTTGGAGACTCAGAGCTGGAAGGAAACTTGGGAGCCACGAAAGACCCACGGTCTCATTTTATACCTGGAGAAACTGAGGCCCGAGAGGGGACGAGACTTGCCCCAAACGAGAGTCTGTGAGCGCGGCAGCTGGAGCTAGAACGGGGCTCCAGTCCCCGAGGGCACGGGGCTGCTCGCGCCCACAGCTCCCTCCCTGAGGTGTGGACGGTGCACGCATGGGTGGCGCGCAGCACCGAGAGACCACGCTGTGGACCCTACAGCTTTACTTTTGCACGTACAACGTATCTATTACGTAAATCCAAGTAGAAACTAAATAAGGTTCAGGCAAAACTGCTCACTGCTCAACAGAGCTGTGGAACAGAACCAGGCTCCCTCCTGACACGCACGCACCTCACACTCACACACACTCACGACGGGCTGGGCTTGAGGCTACACACAGCTCAGCGTCTGCACTTTCCCCTAGCGATACAGAAGCATGTAAGTCAGCCCCAGGACGGCCTCTCCCACGCTGGGGTGCAAGCCCTCCGAATCCCCGGGACCAAAGATCTGACAATTTCTACCCCTGCTTCCAGGTGGTGTTACAGACGCAGCTGGCCTTAAGATGGGGAGATGATCTTGGTGGGCCTGACCTAACCACTTGAAGCGTCTAAGATGGAGTTTTCTCTGCTGGGTCACGGAAGGGGGAGGTCAGAGATTTGGGGCTGCAGAACTAATCATTAAAATTCGAGGTTTAATGCGCATAGAATGGAAAGCACAGGCCTTAAGCGCACAGTTTGACAGGTTTTGATCCATGCATACCTCACCTGGGACAAGAACGTTCCGTCACCCCAGCAAGCTCTCTCACACCCCTCCCAGCCAGCCCCACCCCACAAACGACTCCTGCTCAGATTCCTTTGCCACAGGCGAGCTTCGCCTATTATACAATTCCGCGTCACTGGAATCAGACAGCCTGCCCTCTTTTGTGTCTGGCCCTCCTTCCCCGGCACATTGACTTTGACGTTGATCCGTTGTGTTCCGCGTGTTTGTGGCGGGTTGCTTTCCATTGCTGAGCGGTATTCTGTCATGTGGACCTACCGGGCTTGTCTGCACGTCCGTCTGTGGATGGACACCTGGGCTATTCTAGTCTGGGGACTACTGTGCATAAAGCAGCTAATGGACACGTGTATACAAGACTGGTTGTAGATGTTTTTTGTTTCTCTCAGATAAACATCAAAAGGTTGGAATTGCTGGTCACAGAGCAGGCCTAGCAATTTTTAAATTGTTAATTTGTAAGCAACTATCTAACAATTTTCTGAAGTGGTTGAGCCATTTTCCGCTCCCGCCTGCGTGTGTGCGTTGTGGGGGCCCAGCCCGGCCCACCTTCTGCTGCTGTGTCTGCATACCCTTCACCGGGCTGGACTCCATACGCAGTAGTGTCTCACTGCCTGTAAAACATTTTCGTATCAATGGATTTTCTAAATCAGTGTAGTCCTGGTTCTCAGAATGTGCAACCAATTAGAACTCTGTGTCGCTTCACCATGTAGAAAGCCCCTCTGCATAAACAGGTTCATTTGGTTCTCAAAACAACACTGCTCTTGGTTAGTGCGGGGAGACTGAGGTCCACCTGCTCTCCCCAGGTCTGGGTTCTTCCCATGTGAATCCATCCTCCACAACGCTGACAATTTCTGCTCAAGACTGTAGCTCTGACCGTGTTACTGCCCTGGTATAAAACCTTCAATACCTCCCACTGTTCACAGAGTAAAGGCCAAACACCCCATCGGGGTGTTCAAGACCCATTATGACCTGGTTACACTCCACCTTACAAAACCACACTTGGTGTCTTCATTATTCCCGGAAGCCTCTCTCTTACATCAGTGTCTTGGGGTGGGGCTGGGCGCTGAAGTGCTCATAGTTAAACCCCTTAAATATGCCCCTGGTCCTCTGGCTTAGATCGAATGTCACCCTATTTCCAGCTTACCTCATCTCCCTGCAAATGGAAGTAATGTCTCTTCCGCGTGACGCCTCGTACGTACCAGGGCCTTCGTGTACCAGAGCTAACTGTGAACCTGTCTAATGTCTTCCTGACTGGATGTGACATCCGTGGGGAACACCTGCAACCATCCATCTGCCCAGCACCACACTCAGAGCCTGACTTTACAAGTTCATGTGTGAGAACCTGGTCTCCATGGCTGGACTAGACACTCCTCGAGGACAGGAATGGGCATGGCCTGACCTCAAGGTCACAGTCAGGTTATGGCCATAATAAAGGGTTTTTGGTCAGCTGGCTTGTTCCAGGGCTCAAGGAAGGGCCCTGGTATCCATCCACCCACCCATCCATCCATCCATCCATCCATCCATCCATCCATCCACCCACCCACCCATCCATTCGTCCATTCATCCATCCACCCATCCATCCATCCATCCATCCATCCACCCACCCATCCATTCATCCATTCATCCATCCACCCACCCACCCACCCACCCATTTCCTTATCCATCTATCCACCCTCCCACCCATTTACCCAACCATACATTCACCCATCCACTCATCCATCCACCTGCCCACCTGTTCACCCATCCATCCATCCATCCACCTACCCACCCATTCACCTATCCATCTGTCCACCCTCACACCCGTTCATCCATCCATCCATCCACCCACCCATACCCATCCATTCATCCATCCATCCATCCATCCACTCACCCACACACCATCCATGCATCATTCATTACCTGTCTATCCATCCACCATTACACATATTTTAAACACATCCATTTATCATTCATCTACCCTCCATTAATCCACCATTCATCGTCCATTCAACATCCAACCTTGCATCCATCCTCTACCCATTCATTCATCCTTGAATTCTTCCAGCCCACATTTGCTGACCACTTGCTTATGCCTCTATAAGCCCTGGGGATGCAAAGAATCAGACTTGGTCTGTGCACTCAGGACCTTACACCCAAAAGGCAGATAGACACAGAAGCACACCGCTCTCCGCTGACCCAGAAAGATCACCTGCTGAGAGGGGTGACTCTAGGGGTCCCTGCCCTCAGGACCCTGTTCTGCCAGGGGATCGTCAGCTGTGGAGCCACACCCAGCCCATAAGCCTGTCACTTCCCCACGACCCAAGAGACTCAATCCAGTGTGGAGCCTCATTTTCTCTGCAGCATATATGGAGAGCCCTTTGCTTTTCTCTCCATCTGGCCCCTCCAGTGGGGGGCACACACTGCTGGGAATGGGGAGGGGGTCTGGAATCCCTGAGCTCAGAGAAGTTTAGAGGATTTCCCTCTATAGAACAGGAAACAGGCCCAGAGGAAAGACAGGAGCTGTTCATGGTCATGCAGCGGATTAGAGGCTGCATCCGGTTTGGAGCCTGGGCTTAGACTTTGGTAGCCATAAAACCCTTGACCCCAACCGAATTGGGCTCAGCTCCCCTACTGGGAAGGAAGGAGCCAGTACATTAAAGCAGGTGGGAGGCTGCTCCTCAGGTCTCCCTCTCCTGGTGGCACTGAGGGAGACACAGACCCAGAGCTCCAGGGCTCCCAGGGGACCCCTGCCAGGAGCCCTCCTTAGAGCTCTCCTTCTCCCCTCCCTTCCTCCCCTGCCCGCCCCCCTGCTCCGCCGCCTCTGGGCCTGGGTTTGCGCTGGGGTGGGGCCCTTGGGTTCAGCCTCTTCTGTAGCGACTGAGGGGTGGGTGGGACATACCTGGCGTGAGCGATGGCTGCCACCCACTCATCACAATCCTTGGCATCCTCTGTCCTCAGCTCCAGGGCTTTCTGGTTCTCATGGCTGAAGTTGACCGTGAAATAATGCTGCACCAAGAAGAAGACATCTCTGATTACCAGGGTGTCCGTGGAACCCGCAGCATCTGCAGCTCTCAGTCTGGCTGGTTTGCGAAGTGCTCGTGGCCACGTCAGCCAGGCGCAGATTTGTTATTTGTGATCACGGGAATGCCATTCCAGTTAGCATTTTCAAACTCCTGATTAAGGCAGGCTTTGTACGATGGAACAGAGCCTATACTTAGGATATTGTAGGAAGGAAGCAAAACCCACAAAGCCCGATTTGTCAACAAATTGCAAAAAAGCCATTTTTAAAACATCAGGTGTGCTGGGAGGAAGGCAGAGAAAAAACACCACAGGAGGATCCCCCTTGGGAATTGGGTACCAACGGAGTGCTGCTTGCCTGTAATTCACTCCACAGAAATGTACCAAGTGCTCTTCTGGTCCTGGGGGAAAGCAAGGAACAGGAAGACAGGGCCCCGAGGAGCGCCCACCGGAAGCACCCTGTTGGTGCAGGTGACCTGGAGCCGGCTCAAGCACGGGGCCTGACCCCTAGGCTCCTGGGAAGGAGAGCAGCCAGCAAGAGACACACACCTGTTATACTGTCCAGGGTAACGCCCCTCAGCTCCTAGAACGATGCCTGTAGCCCAGTGAGCACACCTGTTAGCTACGCTCACAGCTGTGAGGGACGCGAGAACAAAGGGCTGTGGGGGCAGAGAAAGCCGCCCTCGGGTCAGCCCAGGGAGCGCAGGACGGCTGCCCAGCGGGCGGAGCACGGGTCCAGGTGTGATGTACGTTGGACAAGGAGCGTGGGACAGATGTCTGGAGCCCCCGGTGTGTTCGGGGTGGGAGGGGCTGGACGGCCGGAATAGGGGTGCCAGAGACAAGGCAGGGAGGTGGGCAGGGTCTGGGTGGCCGTGCCCAGCGGGGGGATGGGCTGGGAGGACAGAGCCAGGAGGACACCACCCAGGTTTCTGGCTTGAGTGACGAGGGGGCAGGGGTGCTCTAGAGAGGGGCGGGGCATTGGCGGGACAAGGGGCAGGTTTTAGGGGGCCGGGGTGGGGTGGGGGAGGGCTATGCAGACTGTGTGCCCCTGGGCCGTGTCTCTCCAGGCTGCTGAGGGGGTTGGGGGTGTCAGCCTCAGGACGCAGAGGGAGGCAGGCAGACAGCGTGGGCCAGCCAAGTGCTGGGGGCCCAACCCGTGGTGCCTCTGGGTCTCATCCTGGTGGAGGTGGGAGAGAGGCAGGCGGCGGGCTGCAGAGATGGGCCTGCAGGCCCCGGGGTCTGAGACGCATCCGGGCCACGGTGCGGCATTGTGTCAGAGAGGTGCCGTCCCTGTCCCTCCCCCCGCCCCGCGTGCTGGGAGCAGGGAGCAGCCGGAGGTGCGGCGCGTAAACTATTTTTAGCCTCTGCTGACATTTACTGTATTTCTGTTAATTGTCAGTCTCGGTGGCAGCCAGGGGGTGTGCGTGTGTGCGTGTGTGCGTGTGCGTGTGTTTGGAGAGTCAGTGTCTCTCACTTGTTTCCTAGGAAACAGATAACTGGGACTGTGGAATGAAATGTCAGCTGCAGCCTCAAATAACTGAATTCGGAAGGCTCAGGTGGGCACACCCCCTACCCGCCCCCGCCCCCGCCTCTGCCCCGGGCCCTCCCGAAGCAGCAGGTGAAGAAGAGCTGTAGGTGGCTATGCGGCACGTGCCCCGCCTCTCGAGAGATGATGAACACCCCGCGCTCGTCTCCCATGATCTCACTGATCCCCTGCTTCACCAGGTGGAGGAGGTGTTATCTGTTTTGCATAGAGAGGTTGCGCCACTTGCCCAGGACCACACAGCCGGAAAGCAGACCTTCTCCAGGCACCTACTGTCCACTCCCGCCAGGGCTTGGCACTGGGGTGGGAAGATGAGAACGCCTAATGAGCCTACAAACAGGTGAGACTCTGGGTCCTAACTCAGAAAAAGGGGACTCTCAGCTGTGCACAGACAGGCGCAGTGGGTCCCCTTCGGTCCCCAGGGGGGATGTCCTGGAGCCGGGTGGGCCCACTGAGTGGTCTTCTTCCCTGCCAAGCTGCCGGGGGTGGGGAGATGCCCCAGAGCTGCTGGTCCAGGGAGGGGCCGGGTGGGTGGAGGTCCCCAAGCCTGGCCCTTCAGAGCTGTGGGGAGTGAGGGGCTTGGCTAAGGCCCCTACCCCGAACAGAGGCTTCTTTGCAGTGGGCCCAGCTTAGTGGAGAAGCATGCGGCTCTTCTGTTTACCCCCATGTGCACCGTAACCCACTGCAATCCTGCCTCAGCAGGAAATGTAACCACAGGGAGCTGGCTTAGAAGCCTCCAGGTCTGAACCCCACCAGCAGAGACCTCTGGCTTTCAAGCCATGAGGACACTCAGCTCTCTGCCCCTCAGGGCAGGACAAGCTCCCAGAGGCTCCCTCCCCACACCCTCCCGGTGGCCTCCGCAGGGCGAGGCTAGCCCACCCACCCCTCTCCCCGCCTCCGTCCTATCCTTGTCACCCCTGCTCCAGGCTAAGCCGTGGCTGTGGCCAGGCTCCTCACAAGTGACCTGCATCTCTTGTCCTTGGTGACAGCACCTAGACCCCTGCGATGGACGGGCTAGAAGTCCAAGAGTAGAGGCTGCTGGTGGGGTGTGTGGGGGGGCCTGGGGGGCCCACACGACCCAGAAACCTCACTGCACCTTCTGAGGAGCAGGCTGATCATGCTGGAGTGAGCTCTGTGGAATGCCAGGGCGTCCTCAGGGCAGAGGACAAGGGGGTGCTGTGTGGGCCCCTCGGGAGCCTCAGCTGGGAGAGACGCTGGAGGTCCCAGGCCCGGGCCTGGGTTCCTTGCGCACTTGGCCTCACCGGGAGCACTCCCACCCTAGGAGTCACGCGCATTACCCCCATTTTACGGGGACGTGGAGGCAAGACGCCGTGCGGACACACTGGGCTCTCGGTCTTCCTGAGTTCCATGCTCTCTCTCTACACCTACACCATCTATGTGTGTATCCACATCTCCCTCCACCTGCCTGTCTAAACACGTCTCCATCCACCTACCCACCTATCCACCTGTCCACTGGGAGGGAGAGACAGCCTGGATGAGACCGTGTGCTCTGCATCTTTCCCCAGGGCTCTGGTTAGGCCTGGGACGGTTCCCCGTCTTTCCCTACATCCTTCAGGAGGCTCTGGGTGTGGCTCTGGCCTGGCCCCTGTCTCTGTCAGGCTCAGGTGTGCAGCTGTGGTATGGCCTGAGGGCCCAGGTGTGGCACCGTGTCCTGGGGTCAGCCAGGGGAGACCCAGAACTTCAGGCTGGGGGAAGGTGCTTGTTTGGACCCCAGCCTGGGGGGGGCTAGGGGTGTCCGGTGGGCCCCAATCCTCCTGTCGCTGGAGGATTGCCTTCCCCTGAGGCCCATCCTCCCACGGAGCCTCACAAGTCTGACGGACCCACGGGCCTCCGACCACTCAAGGCCAGGCCGGGGTTAGCTTTCTTCCTCGGGGGGTTCCAGAGCCCCACAAGAATCTGGTACTGAGTCAGTGCCAAGCGGCTGAAAAAGGACAGGTACATGAACGCTCCATCCGCTCCGGGCCTCTGATGATGTCTGCACCAGGCGCCCCGGCGTCTGTGGTCCTCATCCCCTTTGCTCCTTTGGAAACTAACATAATCCCGCCAATAACCACCTGAGCACTGGCTGCATGCTGGCCACACGGCCTCTCAGGGGCGCGGGCCCAAGTGGGGAGGGCAAAACCCCGAGGTGATGGCCTTTGCGGGGGCGGTCTGCGACTGCTGTATTCTTCAGCATCCAGGTAAGCTCACCCCAAATAAGCAGAGCCTTGGGCCAGACCCTGTGGGTGACACAATGGTCTCCATGCCAACGTATTTCCCACATTTGTCCTACTTCCCCGGCAGCATGGGGGGTGGGGCGAACTTCTCCGGGGAAGTCGCAGGATTGGGAGAGAAGGAGGCTTTTGTGATCGTGTGAGGACGGCCCAGTTACAGACGTCCGGGGGTTAAAAGTGAGGGGAGGCCGTGGCCCCTGCCCCACCACACCCGGCGGGTAGGCTTGGCTTGTTCTGCCCTGGCGCTCCCCCACAGCCCCACCAGAGACAGTGGCTGTGCACGGTCCACACGAGGGACGTCCCTTGGACACCTGGCTCTGGTGGGCCAGGGGGCTTGCGGTTCTGGGCCCCACAGGACTGAAACAATCAGACACAGTCCCTCGCAGGCTACCTCTCCAGGGCACCGCCCACACAGCAGACTGGAAGCCACCCCCAGGTGTCCTGCGGCCACTCCTTTAGGAGGGGGAGAGAGCTGCTTTCCCTGATACATGGAAACCAACACAGCCAAGCAAAATAAGGAAACAGAGGATTATGCTCCCAATGAAAGAACAAGATAAAACTCCAGGAGAAAACCTTCATGAAACTGAGACAGGTAATTTACCTGATAAAGAGTTCACAGTCACGGTCACAGAGCAGGTCACTGATCTCAGAAGAAAAACAGATGGACACAGAGAGAACTTCAACAGAGAGAAAACACGAGAAAGTACCAAACAGAAGTCACAGAGTGACGAATACAAAACTGAACTGGAAAATACACAAAGGACTTCAACAGCAGAGCAGACGAAGCAGAAGAAAGCATTGGCCAACTGGAAGACAAGGTAGGGGAGCCCACTCTTAAATGGAGCAGCAAAAAGAAAAAAGAATTTGAAAAAGTAAAGACAGCTCAAGGGGCCTATGGAACAACATCAAGGGGAACAACGTTTGCATAATAAGGGTCCCAGAAGGAGAAGAACACTTCTGTCCCCCAGAAAGGGACGGAAAACTTATAAAAAAAATAATGGTCGAGAATGTGCCCGACCTGGGGAAGGAAACACACACCCAGGCCTGGGAAGCCTAGAGAGCCCCAAATAACATGAACCCAAGGAGACCCACACTGTGACACATTATAAGTGAAACGTCAAAAGTGAAAGATAAGGAGGAGCTTCAAAGCATCAAGAGAAAATAACTCCTTATGTACAAGGGATCCCTGTAAGACTATCCGAGAGTTTTCA